AGTCCCATGTCCCAAGTGTTTTGTAAGCGCAAATTAGCAGCATCATCCCTACTGCTGACTTCTGCTTTTCTGAGCACAGGCAGAGTGCAGGAGGTCTCTGGTCCTGGTCTCCAACTGGTCTCAAAATAAAGAAAACCCCATCCCTTCCAGGCACTTACCATTTTCTAGCATTTCTTTATCCACTTGGGAAACCACAGGGATTTGTCCAAGATGTCCTTGTGAAGGGGACAGCAGGCCACAGAGGAGGAAAAATGCCCAAAACTTAGACATCTTTGGTCCGAGAACTGTGGAAAGCGATTGCAATCAGTAAAGCTTTGGCAGGGCGACCACAAGCCAACGGGTTGAGGAAAGAGAAGGGCAGAGGAAAGGAAAACCAGGAATGTCTCTGCACAAACGCCCAGCCTCCGAGGCCGCTTTCTGCAGAGCAGTTCTTTTTGCTAAGATGGTAATATGGAGAAAATCATTTTAAAGTTTCAGAGCCACAGAAATATTTCCTGGATTTTTATGGGTCCTACAACTAGAAGTAGCATTTATTCAAGAATTGTAATGGACTTCACTGCTCCCAATCCATTTAAATGTAAATAGCACATCAAAAAGAATCAAAATAAGCATGAAAGGTCTCATTCATCTCAGGTATAAACCTATCCCAGATAATAGAGTTATGCCAAAAATAATTTAACCAATAATTGTTTATGAAAATCATGAGATACCCTTTGTTCTTCAAGGACGGGCAATAGGATGAACACTCACGTGGGGCCAGCGGCGCTCAGGGCGGGAGCAGCTTCTCACTGACCACGCAGCGGCTGGAAGAGCAAATTCTGTTAAAAAMCAAGATACCTGTGGACGTGATGAGCACAAACGAACATGAAGAGTTCCCCTTTTGGAGGTATTTGTCTTTGCCGAGCAGGAGCTCGGGGGATGCTCTCAGGGAGCAGTTTTGCTCATACCTGGCCAGTGTCCTGCTTGTGAGAACCTCTCCAGCCGCTGTCCTCGTCTTCTGGAGCTGCCCCGGCCACGGAGCCTTATATACCAGACACCACAGCAGGAGCGGGGCCACTGATGTCATCGAGGACATCRGAATAATTGGTGGGGAGTAAAGCAAACACTATATGGTTTCTGGTGACTTCCAATGCAAATATTTCTTTATAGATGTTCAAAGTTAGGTAAGTTGTTGAGCAACGGCCAGCGAGAGCAGAGGCGGCCGCCAGGCCAGGGCTGGGGCTGGGGTCCCTCCGGGTTGTAGGCAGACCCCTGTGCTGTGTCTGGGGGTTGCTCTTCTTGCAATACCAGCACATGGAGATGGTGGAAAGATCATGTTCCACTAAACCCTCCACACCATCTTCTCTTTCTTTTCTTTTTCCTACCAAACCCTCCACATCATCTTTTCTTTCTTTTCCTTTTCTTTTGGGGCTGGAATCAGGGTTTTCTCAAGCTTGTCTAGAGTGTCTAGAGTGTCACGTTCCCCACAGCAGGTCCGTGCAGGGCATGTGCTGCGTTTCAGCTGCTCGGTGCAGCACCTTGCTCGGCATCGGTGCGGAGATGGGAGCAGACCCTGGTGCTGCCCTGGCCGGGGCAGTGTCCCAAGCCTGGCATTCCCGCTCCACACTCCTGCAGCTTCCCGAACCAACGGGACAGCTCCAGATCTATTTGGTAACGGAGGGAAAAGGCTTCCTGCCTCAGACCCGCGCCACCGTGAGCACCCACATTGGTGAAGTGTCACCTCTCCATGGATGCACCGAGCGCAAGGGCTCTTTGGAGCAAAACCATCCCACACATAAACGCTGCAGCGGCCTAAGCGGGACGACGTTATCACCGACTCGGTCACTGAGTGGCCCGGAGCGACTGCGGGAAAACTGACGTGCACGGAGAGCTGCACATCAGATAGCAGTGCAATAAAGCCCCTCTCCGGGAGCGCCTGGTCGGGAGCCGGGCGCTGGAGCCCTGAGGAGCTCCTGTCCCCACAGGGACACCGAGAGCCGCCGGGGCGGCCGCTCCGCCAGCCGATGCTCTGGAGGCAGTGGGGATGCTGTGGCCCTCCTCCTGCAGCATTACTCATTCCTGCTTGTAAAATTTCACTTTTATAAACTGCAAAATATACTTTTACAAGCAGGAGAAAGAGAGAACCTTCTGCTGAGCCACAYGTGTCCATAGGGTTGTGCCAGTTTGTCCCTGCTCTTGCTCCCGGTGCTGACCTGGATTACCTGGAGCTGCAGCACAAAGGCAGCTCTTCAGGCAGGGAAAAACAGCCCGTCTCTGCAGGCCATGGAGCAACACGGGATGACATCCCGGGACACGCAGAGAGAGGCTGGGCCTCAGCGGAGCAGAGGCTGCGGTGGCAGGGAGGCCACCAGGCCGCATCAAGGGTTGTCCTGCTCAGCAGCGGTGGTGCCGAGGGCAGCTCCCAGGGCAGCTCAGCAAAGCRCCTGCTTGGGGTTAATACTTTCTGCAAACTTGGAAAGAAGCATTTCCAGGAGATTAGCCAGCTTTTGCCATGCACTAAGCACAGCTTTGAGAAAATATCTTAGCTAAAGGCCAGGGAAGGGATGACCGAGATGCCAATTTACTTAAGGTGCTGGGGCTCTCCCTGCAACCGGATCGGCCGGGGGCCTCTGGAGCACAAACCCCGCTGCCAAGGGCGGATCAGGACATCTGATAAACTGGAGGAGTGCGTTAASGAGGCGGTATTTTGTTATCAGCCCTCCCGGCCACCTGGCACTTTGGGCAATCGCTGCCCACACCCCGAATTAGCAGAAGAAAAGGCGCGAGACAAGGTCAGCCCTGGGAAGGGATATCTGGGCGCTGYGGGACAGCTCGGGTGCAGCGACCTTGCAGCACGGCTGCAATTGGGCTGCTCAGCAGCTGCTGCAGCGCGCAGAGCTCCCCGATGGTTAAACATTTCAGCAGAAGGGAAGCGGATTCCCGCAAGGAGCCTCCTRTTGTGAGGTCCATTGCGAGGTCCCGTCCACACCAAAACAGCCTGCGCAGCCCAGTAAACACCAAGACCAACCTGCGCACAAAGGCAGAACCGCAGGCTAAATCAGGCCGGGCTCGTTCAAAGGGAGAAGAACGGGAACGCTGTGAATAAGCGCGGCTTTGATGCTTGCAGAGCAGGAAATTGAAAAGTGAGGGCAGGCAGGAACCGTGACATAGCCCGGAGAAGTGCTGGAGATCTTGACATTAACAAGAGAGGAGCAGGTAGTGCTGAGACGTGGGCAAAATAATGAGCAAATTGTCATTAAAAGTGGTTGTTGAGGAGCAGCGCTGGGGACAGGGCCCGTGTGCCACCGTCACCGCTGCTTGCATGGGCACGGGTGTCAGCCGGGCAGGGAGCGGGTGCCTGGGGACACCTCGACACGAGCCCTGGTTTAAGAATGATCCCATTCTSTTTGGGTTACACAGGAGAGCCCATCCAGCTGGCACAGCACAGGGTCCGGCCCTGGGTCCCCATGGGGGTCCCCAAGCTGCACCCGCTGCCTCGTGCATGTGCCCACGAGCAGCACGTGCGGCTGAGCCGGCCCTGCCACTTGGCAGTGCCATCAATTGTCTCATGCAAGAATAAATAGGTGCCGCCTGAGATTTCCTGCTTGGATCGCTCCTCCGAGGGCAGCCTGCAGGAGTTCAATGCATTTTCCTTCTTCATAAGGAAACTTGGGCTCAGGCTGCTCAATTCTTTATCAGCTAAGATAAGAACAACAAGGAAGCTGCTGCCGACAGGGGCCGGGCAGCCCCCCAGCAGGGAGCTGCGTTTTCCCCTGGTGTCCCTTGCTGCTCACAGTCCTTTCCAGGCCGTTCCTTACGGGCACTGCGAGGCCAGCGCCTGCCGTGTCCGCTAGCGTGTGCAGGCGAATAAGGTGCATTCAGCACCCACCGTCCCGCAGCGAGAGCCTCCTGAGGATGATTTTAGGAGCACAACGATCTTTTCTAAAGCAGCCCTAATTGCACCCAGCCTCCATCACYGGGAGAACCGCTCGGCTGCATCACTCCAGTCCCATCAGAGCCAGGCTTATCACCGACTTACTAAGGACGTGCAATTACCTGCAATCCGTGAACTAAAAGCGTGGGACGGATAGCAGCCGAGCAGCAGCAAAGCACAACACCAGGCACTGGAGAAACACTAATATACACCCCGGGGTGCTCCACGAGCCCTAAGTAGCCCTAACCAAGTAGCCCGGGTGCCATGAGAACCCCAGCCCGGACTGGGGTGGGATTTAGGTCCCGCCACGGGGCYGCGGGAGCCTCGTGCAGCCGCCGAGCACCACGGGACCCCCCGGCCCTGCCCGGCCCGTCCTGCCCCTTCTGCATCCCTGTTCCCCCCGTCTCCCTGCCCAGGCACCAGCGCCTTCCCCAGCGCTCGTGGCCTCCAAAACCGCCTCGATGGTAACGGGTGACTCATCCTGCTTAGCAAAACGTGTTTGTTTTCTGCGTTTACTTTCTGCCAGATGCATACGGGGTCCCTTTCAGCATTAACCTTTAATCCTAGGGCAGGCACCAGATGACTGATGCCTGCACATGAAAAGGTGCCTGGAAATTTTTGACCATTTTCATTCTTCTTGTTGTGCGCGCAAAAGCCAAAGATAATATTTGCTAAATGCACTGGGCTTTGCAGTTTGGGAATGGCGGCTTGCTGTCTGCAGCCGCATGATAAAAGCGCAAAGCGACACCRAATGATGACAGGTCTGGGACAAACCCAGGCAGCCCCTGGGCTCGCGCTGTGGGTCTGTGGGCAGAGGGGAGCTCCACGGCTCCCCACGGACCCCCGGGGACGGCACCACACGCAGCCCGTGGCCCCTCTCGTGGGGCTGTTCTGCTGCACGCCCAGGACACGCTGTGGCAAAGCCCATGGAGCAAAAGGGCCAACCAGGCCAGTGCTGCGTCATTTTATTCCAGCTTAGGATTTTATTTCAGTCCAATAAGGTCAAATCAGTGAAAAGCCGAGCAAAGCACCCGCGGGCAGCACCCCGGCTGTGCTGGCCCTGCTCTCGCTGCCTCCTCGCCGCATGTCAGGTCTCGGCGGTGACGGTGGCACTGGTGGCCATGGTGACATTGGCGGTGGCATTGGCGGCGGTGGGCACGTCCAGCACCAGCGCATCCTGCGGGTTGGAGAGGAGGAGCAGGGCTGCAGCAGCAGCAGCGGCGGGGAGCCCGGGGGTGCTGGTGGCACCACGTGGGGCAGGGGCTCTGTGTGGGGCAGGGGGCACCACGTGGGGCAGGGGCTCTGTGTGGGGCAGGGGGCACCACGTGGGGCAGGGGCTCTGCTCGGGGCAGGGGCTCTGTGCCTACCTGGGCGCCGCGCAGCGCTGCCCGCTCGTACCTCATGCCCAGCAGCTCGGGCAGCGGGATGCCGCCTCGCAGTGCCTCTGAAACACAGAGCAGCCACCACTGGCACCAGCACTTAATGGGGGCCAAAGTCACGGATACCCGCTGTTGCCACCCCCCASAAAGGTAGGAGCAGTAGGTAGGAAAAGAAGCAAGGACCGTTTCCCTGAGCAGCCCCGTGGGGTCCCGGGCTCACCGYTGATGGACGGCAGGTAGGCCACGTGGATGACGTCGGCCAAGAGCCCTCTCAGCGGCTGCTCCTGAAACAGAGAGTGGCACCGTGAGCGGCCCCCGGCACCAGCRCCGGCACCGGGGCCCTTCCCAGAGCGGCCCGAAACCTCGGGGATCACCGAGCCTCCCTCCACCACCCCGGGCGCACTGGAGAAATTCTAAATTTCAATGAAAATCACCCAAAAGGAGACTCCTCCCCCAGCACCCACACTGCCCTCGCTATTCTGGGCAATTTGGCGACCCCTKGAACACGTGTGTGTCCCCATGGGATTAGGGGACAAGGAAGGAGGTTGCAGACACGTTGGTGCTGGCTTTGGGGGACACATTTACGGTGACAAATGTCCCAGGCACCAGCGCGGGGCAGGGGTGGCTCCTTCCCAGGCTGTCCTGCCGTGGCCAGCGGTTCTGGTGGCTAATCTGTCTTTTGGAGCTTCTTCCTTGAAGTAACATCTGCATCTTTGACTCTAATTTGAGTGCCTTGTTATTTTTAAGTAGGACTGTTACTGATAAYGACAGAAATGGGGTTAATTCCTGCTAGCAAAGCCATTGGTGCAGAGGTTCACGGCTGCAATCGCAGCGCCGCTCCMGGCCAGCACGGCCCAACTCACGTCAAAGGTGCCCACGGAGGAGGCGGCCACGGCCAGCCCGGCCACGCTGCGGAGGAAGGGAGGGCGGCGTGGAGGGAGCGGCGCCGTCCGCGCCGCGCGCCCCGGGGAGCCTCGCGCCCGCCGGGTACCTGCGCAGCGCCAGGGTGACGTGCAGCCTGCCCGCGCCGGCGGCGAAGCGCGCGCCCAGCTCGCAGCGCTGCGGGGGGAAGGCACGGCTGCGGCGGCGGCTCCGGGCACAGGGGCACCACGCGGGGCCACGGCCACGCACGGTGTCCCAGCCACGGCCACGCACAGGACCCCAGTCACAGCCAGGCACTCACAACGTGCAGCACGAAGAGCGGCTGCGGGGCTGCGCCGGCGGGGCTGGCCACGAAGGCGGCTGTGCTGGCGAGGCGCACGGAGGCGGCCTGCGCGGTGACGGTCACCAGCGGGGCACTTGCCGCCCGCATCGCGATCAACAGCGGCTGCGATGGGGGCAGCACTGCAGACACCTGGGGAGAGGTGCACGGGGTTGCTCGATGAGGAGCACAACATGCTCACCAAGGGGCACAACACGCTCTCAAGGGGCACAACATGCCCACCACGAGCACAACGTGCTCACCAAGGGGCACAACACGCTCTCAAGGGKCACAACATGCCCACCACGAGCACAACGTGCTCACCAAGGGGCACAACACGCTCTCAAGGGKCACAACATGCCCACCACGAGCACAACGTGCTCACCAAGGGGCACAACACGCTCTCAAGGGGCACAACATGCTCGCCGAGGGCCCTGGCACACTCTGCCCACACTTGCCAAGGACCTCAGCACTCAGTCACCAAGGGGCTTGGCACTCTCTGCTGCCATAAAGCACCCAGAAGGACCCAGAGGTCGGTAGTATTAACCTACCTCAGGGATGAGGGTGCCCAGCATTGATGTCACCAGCGGCGGGAGCCCAAGAACCTGCCAATAAATCACTGCTCATCAATGCGCTGGCTCTGGGGCCCGAGCGGGCAGGGGAGGGAGCAGAGAGGCGGCAAACTCAGCGAGTTGGGGCTGGGCCCCCCGGGCTGGAGGCTGCTCTGCRCCCAAGGACTCCGGGGAGCGGCCTGCTCCGTCCTCGTGCGCCGCCACCCACCATGGTGTCGGTGACGTCCAGCGCGAAGGCGCCCGGCTGCGCGCGCAGCGTGGCGCTCAGGAGCGCGGCCGAGAGCACGAGCTGCGTCGCAGCCGCCGGCTTCGGGGGCAGAGCGGGGAGAGGCGGCTGCTCGGCAGGGAGCTCCGACTCACTTCCGTCCTTTCGGCGCAGAATGGCCTAAAAGGGCAGCAAAAACAGGCAGGTGAGGGGCAGGACAGGAGCTCCTGCAGGTGAGCGGAGGGGCGGCACGGACACCCCGGGGCGGCAGCTCTCACCTTCAGATCCAGCCGTATGAAGGCCTCATTCACTGCAGCGGGCAGCAGGGCGTAGCGGAGCGTGCCCGCCAGCCCCAGGGGCATCTCGGCTGCAGGGGATGAAGGGCATTTTCAAGCCACCTGCCTGCTCCGCGGGACGTCTCTGCAGCTCTGCCCCGGGAAAGGGCGAGCGGGAGCTGCCGACTTACCGGTCAAGGTGGCCAGCTTTGCATTCAGCAGGCTGAGCACCGCATCCACAGCTGGACACAGCTGCAAAGGAGGGGGATGCTCGTGAGACAGCCCTGCACGGAGCCGGCCGCCCCCAGCACCACCRGGCCCCGGGACCCTCCGCTCGCAGCTGCACACAGCAAGGCTGCTCTCAGCTTTCTATATCCTGAACTGCATCAGTTATTCTGGGCTAAACTTCATCTAAACCGAGGGAAGGAAAAGGCCATGCTCAGTCACTAGATGCCCAAAATGTTCCCTTTTAGCAATCTGCACGCTGCTGGAGCTGGCAAACTAAGGAAACTGCTACCGAGCAGTGGACAGGTAGAGATCTCTGGCAAACAAGCACCCAGGAGGACGGGACTCACCAGAGGCGGCAGCACTTTCTGGAGGGTCCTGTCCAGAAACTTGTCGAAGACATTGGGCAGGAGGCTGGACGGAGAGAGCGGCTCAGCCACGCAGCTCCGGTGCAGCTGCACCAAAGCCCAGCGCTAAGGACCCCTGTCCGGCACAGACTGGCCCTCACACGCCGCATGGCTCGTGCAAGAGAGCGTCTCTATTTACAATTCTCACAAATGGTGAGATTTAAAACCTTCTGGTTTTAAGCCAGTGCAGGAGAACAGCGCTGAAATGAGGGCTCATGCCAGGGGTCCTCACATCAGGTCAGCGGGGCTGGCCTGCATTTGCGCATGGAGCATTTTGGGGGTTTTTAGTGGAAAAAGCGGGCTCTCCACTGAGCACACGTTTGCAGCGAGGAGCGCCCGGCTTCTGCACAAACGCACACGTGCGTACCGAGAGGTTTCCATCTACAAAGGCCCGGGGGCACCTGCTGGGTGCTAGTGGCTCTGAGGCCCACGAGGTTCCGCGGCAGCGGGACAGGGCTGCCCGGCACTCACTGGTTGGGCAGGTTGGTTTTGACGCTGATCAGCGCGATGCGGCAGTTTTCCGAGCGGAACCGGGGGGTGCCCAGCGCGTCCTGGGCCAGCCGGCCCTGCACGGTCATGTTGGCTGCCAGCGTGATCTCCATGTACCCCCCCATAAAGCTGCAAAGAAAATTAAAACAGACAACACGGGACAAAGGCCGGGGCCCTGCCAGTGGAGCCAAAGTGCCACAGGGGCGTCCCCAAGCTCCTGAAAACCCTGGGAGAATCCGGTGGGCATTGGGCATCGTCTGCACCCGCTGGGCTCTCCCAGGTGCTGCCCAAAGGACAAAGCCGGGTCCCTTTGCGCCAGGCCCCCCTCACCTCTTCCCGGCGATGGTCATGCGCACCAGCACCGCCATGGAGAGCCCCGTGCCCGGGCAGAGCCCCAGCCGGATCACGGGGGGCTCGATGCCCTTCACCTTCACCCTGCAGAAGCGGAGGGAAAGAGCTGCAGGTAGAACAGCCTGAGCTCTCAAACCAGAACCATCCATCACAATACTGCAGTTAGCAGCTTTCTCCCTTCGCCTTTTGGTTAAACATTCTTCTATTCAGATCAAATTTAAAATTTGAAAGTAGGCTTCCTCATAAGACGGCAATATTTGATTTAAGAAGAAAAATGAAAATGACATTTTAGTATTTAAAATCCCTCCATTCTTTTGTACAAAATTATTCAGAGATAGCTGAAATCCTCCAGAAATTCTGGGTATCCCTCAGGATATTGTGCCCAAAATCCGGGGGAACGCGGTGCCGAGAGCCCAGCGGCAGCGATCTCCAGCCGGCTTTGAAGCCGCAGCTGACATGCTTTGCTGCCTTTAACTTATCGCTCCTCCATGTATTTGCGGACACAGCCATGCAGAAAATCACCAGCTTTAATATCACACTTGTTAGTGGGCAGTGATTTGTTTCTGCCTCCAGGCTGCCGCTTCTCAACCTGCTGCTTTCATTTTGCAGTTTGCAGCCCCGGCTCCCGGTGCAACACACGGATTGCAACTCACCCCGAGATGCCTTTGATGAGTTTGGGGTTCAGCTTTTTTTTGGTTGCTTCCTCTGCCATTTTCTGAAGGACATCACTCTCAGCCAGCACAGTGGAGATTGCTGGCACGTTTCCACAGGAAAACAGAGAGAAAAAAAAAAAAAAAAAAGTGAGTTTAGCACAAAACGTGCATCTGCCAACACTGTGCCGGACAGTGAGGGGACTTTGAACCACCCATCACAGCCTTTGCAGCGTTATTAGCTCATCCCCGTGCCGTTAAACAGAGGCACAAGGAGGGCTCAGGTCCGCACGGGGCAGCTGGAAACGCGTGTGACGACACCGGTCGCACAGAAGGGGACGATGGCCCCGAGCTGTGACAGCCGGTGCCGCCCGAGGCCCGCGGCCCCGCGGGGCCGGTGCCAGCGCCGCGCTCCGCTCACCGCGGTCCATCGTGCCGATGTCGATCCTGAGGACGGCGCCCGGGTGGCCAGCTCCTCGCGACGGCGCCAGCCCGGCGCCGAGCAGCACCAGGCAGCAGAGCCCCAGCATCTCCGGAGCCCGCACGCTGCTCCCGAGCACGGGCACTGAAACGGGCACGCTGCTTAAACCCGCACAAAGGGGCGAGTAGCAGGAGCGAGTCCCCTAGGAGGGAATGCGGRTGAGGGCTGCGCTCTGCCCTTGCACCCAAGGAAACGGAACAGGGTCCGTGCGAGGCAGCAGGGCAGCACCAGCCAAATCAGAGGGGCACCCGAGCAGCGGCCCGGACACCAGCACGGTGCCGTGGGGCAGCAGTGACACCGGCACGGTGCCATGGGGCAGCAGTGACACCGGGACAGTGCCATGGCACAGCAGTGACACCAGGACGCACCCGCTCCGGCCACCCCCTGCCCCAAACCCCGCGGATCCGGCTCCCTACAGCCCCAAGCCCCACATCCTAACGGCACAAGCTGCAGCCCTCCGGCCAGAGCAGCTCTGCAAGGGAACGCACCGACCACCTCGGCAGGTCGCCCTGGAGGAGCCTTCCCAAAGGCTGCCCACGCGCGCACCAGCCTTCGCTGCACAGGCAACAAGCAGCCTATATATATGAAAATCCTGCCTGAAAGAGGGAGAAAAAATGAAGGATTAAAGGGTTGAGTAATTACGCTGATTTAAAACTAATCCCTGTGTTTCTGACATCTTCCAACATAAATAATTTCGCTAATAAATTTGAAAGTCTGGCTAAGTTCTTGAGCCTCAGGTATCAAGTGAATGCTCTTAGCATGCATGAAGCCAGCTCTCTTGCTCAACACCCAGGAAGAGGCACCGGGAGCTCTGCACGTTGGGTCTGAAAGAGAAAAACCATCCGTTTAACAACATAGCAGAGGAAGGCGCATTGCGGGGAGTTCTGGTTCTGGGACACAGGCACTGGGTGCTTCCCACCCGGTTTGGTGGCTCACACTCCTGCCCAGCAAAGGCAGCCGATGCCTGAGAGCGGCCGAGGGCTCAGCCCGTCGCTCAGTGGAAGCTGAGATATTCCTGCCCCAATATTCCTGCCCATCCCAATAGGGCTGCAATGAGGCTACCAAGTCTGCCTGCATTGCCACCTCAGGAGATCTCGCAGCACCCAGCCCTTTATTCCTTCCCTTCATTTCTATATAGTCTGTCAGGAGGCTTAATCTGTCATTAGGCTCCTCTTAGCAAAGAGTCATCAGTATACCACTAAGGAGAGACAAGAAGATTTACATCTTATCTAAGAGGAAAGTAAGATTTATAGATAACTCCCATTTAACAGCCCATCGGGCCAGAAAGACCCTTTTGTGCTGGTAACTTGATCAGTCATTAGGCTCTGAGCTGACATGTAATTAAACCTCCACCCGGGCTGCCAGGTACAGAACAGCTCCTCAGGAGAAGAAAATCCATGTGTAAGCACCAGGGCGCCTTCCTTGCCCTTCGCTTTATCCCTGGACTCTTGTGCTGCTGTAAATGATAACAACGATTCACGGATAAATCTCCAGTGCTGCTTGGGAAAGAGCTACCGGTATCAGCTGCCCTGGAGCGAGGCTGAACAGGGGGGCGGTTTCCAGCTACTGCTCCACAAAACACCAGAGACTCATTTCTCGGAGATGCTTTCAAGTCCTGTACGTGTCCCTGGCAATGCAACATGCCCCAGACGCCTCTCCCAACCCCAGGAAACTCATCTGCCGTTTACAATCTTGCCAAAGGATTTACTTTTTTGAACACGTTTGTTGCCTCTAAATGGGCTGCGTACATTGGTATCAGAGTGTAAATTCTGCTCCGTCCCTCATAGGCTTTTGGGTCTGCAGCTTGGTATTCTCTCCTGACACATTTTTTTTTTTTTTTTTTTTTTGGATACTTTCAATGGAAATGCACAACGCGGCTGGAACTCAGCCTTTCCTCTCAGCATCCCTCTGTCCCAGCGAGAAGGAAAGCTCCAAAGGGCGAGTGAGACCCAAAGGCTCCCCCGAACGTGTCAAGATGCACCTGGAACCGGAGCCCAATAACTCACCCAGGTCGCGCACAAAGGACAATGGCCACGGCCCATGCAGGGCAGGTGTATCAACAAGCGCCGAACAGGATGTCCCATAGGCCAGGGATGTGGACAAAAACGGGCAATTTAACCCTTTCGGGAAGACTCACCATGCCTCAAAGTTGGTGTCACACACATGAGGAAAAGAGAAAGAATAAGAGCAAGGAGAGCTGCACGAGCGCTCGCCTTGACCAGTGTTTGGTTTCTTGGCACCCTCCGTGCAGACCTTTCTTTGTGCCGCTTGAAAACTCCACAATAAAAGGCAACCTGCCCCAACACCTGCAGTTCAATATTTTACCTTGTTAGGTCAATGGCCAATGTAATCAAACATATGGAAAAACAATAAACATGGTATATAAAACAAAGTGCCTACCCCCAGAGCAGCCTCCTCTTTGCCAATTTCTGCCCTCATCAAGCTGGCTATGAAGGTATATAAAGCACACGGGATCCCTTCACACGGCCACAGCAAGACACGGGCTAAGAGGAATGGCAAGATCGGCTAGAAAAGGTAAAGATGCGTTTATGAAATGAATACATAGAGCTAAGCATGGCTTGTATTCCTTTAGTTTGGCTGTGTAAGGTCCTGTCTGCAAAGACTGATACAAATGCGACTTTTTTTATAAACAGGTTAAGCCTTTCAAATTGCTTATTTTCTTAATATTGCAAGAGCCCTATAAACAATTCTACAATGTTTTCAGAGGGTTTCAGAAGATAGTCTCACTTTTTAATTTTCCTTTAGCCTCCTCCATAACTTCCTTTTTTTTTTTTATCTGACTGATTCCTGTATATTTACGGGTGTTTCTATCAGCTGTAGGTCACGGTGCATTATCCGTTGGGCACGATACTGCCACAAGCGCCCCTGCAGCTCAGATACGCACAGGAGGTTTTCCAGGCTGAGCTTTCTTTTTGTACCTTGAAGCCTCAAGGGCTGCAAGAGTCATGCTTTTAAAAATAAATAAACGAAATAAAAAGCAAAGCMAAGGCGGGTCAGGCTGAGGAGGAGCAGAGGATCCGTGGCCAAGGGCAGGCTCCGGAGCAGGAGCCCGGCTGGGAGCTGGCGCTGGAAGCTGCCGCTCGCGGCGGGTCCGGACGCGGCTGCGCGTGTCCCGCAGGCGCCATGGCGAGGACGTGCGCCCTGGGCATCGTGCTGGGCCTCCTGGCAGCAGCGCTGGCCAGCGGGGCTCCCGACTGCGGCGGGATCCTCACCCCGGCGGGGCTCGGCTACCGTGAGTACGCTGGCCGCGGCGAGGCTGCGCTCCCGCAAGCGGGGCTGCAGCGCTTCGCCCAGCGCCTCCGCCTCGGCTCCTCGGGAATTTCTGCCTTTGCCCAGCTCCTTCTCGTTACCCTCTTTCTATAGCTAGCAGCAGTAGGATTTATAGGAGGCAGAAATGTGTCACCGGGGCCGAGCGCAGCGCTTGCTCTGCCCCGGAGACCGCCCRTTCCGGAAGGTCTGACGGGGTGTCTGCTGTGCCGCACAGTGGCTCAGGTCTCCAAGCAGCACGCGGAGACCATCCTGGCGCAGGACCTGATGGCGCCCAGGGTCTCGGACCTGCTCCTCGGCTCCCCCAAGCCCACCCGGTGAGTCCCCGGCTCTGCCCCGATGACATTGCCCCGTTCACCGCTGCTCTGGTGACAGCTACCAAGGGCATCGCCCAGACAGGACCAAAGTCCTCACGGGTGTCAGTGTTTCATTCATTCAGTTTCATTGCTGCTGTTGCAGCCTGAGCAGCTAAACCAAACAGAATAAGTGGCACAAAAAGTGCTCAGATTTGGAAAATATATGGCGCTTAAACAGAGAAGGTGAAAACGCACGTGAGTGGCCAGCGGGACAAGTACTATTAGCAGGAAAACAAATTCAGGCCAATTTTCTCTTGCGTTCCCAGGAGCAGTGCACAGGACGTGCCTGCTGCGAGGCTTTATTACCTGTTTATAAAGCAGGCGAGGGCCTGCATTAGCCTTCAGGACCAAGCAGTCCTTGCAGCCCCRTGCCCAGATCCACGTATTCCGTATCCCACCCGGACCACGCGGGGCCGGTCTCCTGACGCCTTTGCTGCTGCTCCGCCAGGAACCAGATCGACTCCGTGAAGGTCGTGGACCTGTCGCTGTCGCTCATCCCCGACGCGGGGCTGCGGCTGAGCATCGACGCAGACCTCGGCGTCGTCACCGCCCCGTGAGGACCGCAGCGGGCGCCGGGGACGGGCTCGCTGGCATCAGAGCAGAGCCGAGCTCTGCTGAGCCGAGCTCTGCTCTGGGCCGGCACCGAGGGAACCGCTCGTGGAGGGGGCAGCTCTGCAAGGAGCAGCCCCGGCCCATCCGCGTCCCCTCTCTTGGCGCAGCTCGACTTCCAAGGTGGTCAGACTGTCCATCCTGGCAGACCTGCAGGTGGAAAGGAATCCCGAGGGSAACCTGGAGCTGAGCACGACCGCCTGCAAGCCCACCATGGAGGAGACGCAGAGCACCGAGGAGGCAGAAAGGTGACCCCACATGCCTCTGTTCAGGGATGGGGACAGGGCTGAGATCTGGAAAAAAAGAAGTAACTGGGTGATAAACGTTCTTACACATAAAGATGAGGTGACCAATTAGCCACAAATGGTCAAATAGCTTACAGAGATTAAYACAAAACCTTTATCTTTGTAAAAGAAACTTCATTCTACTTCCCCTCCCCTTTTTTTTTAAACACTATCTTAAAAGTTTTGTTTTCCAATCAGTGAGCAGGTCTTTTTCAGTAGTGTAGCATGAACATTTTTCATGCAGGTGCAGTGATGGTTCTGCAGTGTGTTAGGGCTCTGAACTGTTATCGTACTTTAGTATGTTATAAGATGTAAAGAGAACAACCCCTGGGGTGCTTGTCAGGTCAGCCCAAGATGCTGCTGCTCCCGGGGCTGTGCCTCACATAACAGCTCCTGTTTCCTCATTTCCACCCAGCAAGTCTCCCAGTTTGGAGGTGGACAAGGAGCTCGATGTCAGTAAGGTGGGTGCGGCCCGTGGAGACGGTGGGTGGCAGGGCCGTGCAGCTGCGCGGCACAGCGGGCGCTGCCGCGCGCCCCGTCCCGCCCGGCTCCGCCGCCGCCTCCCTCGCCGCTCCGCTCCCTGTGCCGCAGATCTGCGTGGAGGTCTCCAGGCTGCTCATCCTGCCCAACGAGCAGCTCGCCTCGCTCACAGGTGAGGAGCCCTCGGCCTCGCTGCCTTGAGCGGCTCCGGGAGCCGGTGCCGGCGCCCAGCTCCTGGCCGGCAGACCTCTCCCCAGCAACAACAGGCCCAGCAGGGCTGCAGGTATAAGAGGTATAATGAGATATAACCAGACAGAAGCCAACACCGCCTGTGCGCGCTCTGTTTGACAGCTCAGTTCCCCGTCACCCCGAGCTGCCAGGTCCGCTACGTGCCGCTGGCTGCCCCCGTGATCTCCGAGCAGGGAGTCACCGTGTCCCTGCAGGTAAGCGGCCGCTCTCCAGCACCGGCGCCAGCCCCGCTCCCATCCCGCCGCGGTGCCCGCCTGGCTCCGGGGTGCCTCCCGGGCAGTGCTGGCATGGTACCTGGAGCGGCTGCTCCCGGAGGCCCGCGGCACCGTCTCCCCATCCCGTGTCCCCGCAGACGACGTTCCTGGTGGCAGGGGTGGCACTGCCGCTGCCCGCCAGCCCCACACCCTTCACTATGCCCGAGAGCGCCAGCGCTGCCCACCTCACCCTGGCGCTGTCCACGCACTTCTACACCAGCTTCTTCTTCGCCCTGGAGACGGTGGGAGCCTTCAACATGACGCTCATGGTGAGTGCAGCGAGCGAGCCAGGAGGGGACGAGCTCGAGAGCTTGCTCTGCCGCGTGTGCATCACCCCATGGAGCTGCTTGGGGAAGGGGACAACCGGGACACGGAGCGGCTCCTCCCCGTCACAGCCGGGCAGGTACCGAGCTGCATTTTCCTTCCAGAGCCCGCTCACCACGGCCACGATAGCGCAGAGGATCAGCCAGGTGGGTCACGGCGCGCGCCCCGCGAGCGCGGGAGCTGGCACGGGGCTCCCGTGACCGCCGCGCCGCCCCAGATGGGCTCCCTCTTCCAAGAGGACCGGCCGGTGCTGCTGCGCGTGGCCTTCCGCAGCTCGCCCTGGGTGGTGCTGGAGGAAGGCAGCGCCACGCTGAAGCTCTTCCTCACGGCGCACGTCGGCATCGGCTCCCCGGACTTCCAGAGCATCCTGAGCATGAATGTGGTGGGTGAACGCGCGGCGCCCACGGCCTCTGCGCAGCCYGGAGCACGGGTTAATAGTAAATGAGTCTGACCTGGGCTGAGCTCGGCCTTGAGCCCGGTCTGCAGCAGCCTGGGGCTCCCACGCGCTGCACGAGGCCGTGCCCAGCTGGGCTCCTTGCCGCCCAGCCCTCAGCAGGGACACGGGGCCCTTCCTCTGCGCTGTGGTTCTCCCTCCGCTCTTCTACCCGCAGGACATGTCCGCGGGGCTCCTGCTTAGCGTGGCCGACGTGAGGATGATGGTGTCCGCGGCAGCGATCGAGTAAGCAAGCGGCCTCCCCGGCGCAGCCTCCGCGGGCGCTGCCGGGGCCGAGCAGCCCCGGGGGCTCCTTTCCCTCGCGCTGCGGCCCTTGCACAGGCAGCTCCATCCCAAGGGAACCAGCAAGAGCCCAGGGCTCCATTAGCTGTGCCGCTCACCCGCCTCCGGCCTCAACCCTCCGACGAAGCTTCTTGCCCCAGGGGCRTCCCCGCCATCCCCAGCCTCCGCCGCTTTGTTTTGCAGGGACATGGACCTGAGCCTGGCTGCCTCCGACGTGGGCCCCGTGCCGGTAGGTGCCGCGCAGCTGGGGCCGGGAACGGGCTCCCCGGGGACCGGGAGCGTTGCGGCGGCGCCGGCCCGGCCTCCCCGCAGCACCGGAGGCCGGCTGGGGGCTCAGCGGGCGTCCCCCCGCGCAGGCTGCTCTGCTGGAGGAGCTCTTCGTGCCGGCCCTTCGCGACGGGGTGCTGGCGCGGATGAATGGTGAGGACCCCCCGGGGTGGCACCGGGGAACCCGCGCCCCCCACCACGCCGGGACGGGGCCCACACGGAGCGGGGCCCTTTCCCTCCCCTTCCCTAGAGGTCCTCAGTGAAGGGATTTACCTGCCCCACGCGTCCAACTTCGTCTACACTGACGCCAGCGTCGTCATCCACAAGGTAGGAACGCGGGCGGGTAGCGGCGCAAGCGGCGGGCATCCCACGCCCCCCCGGACCGTGAAAAACGAGCAAGAAATTGGGGCAGAGCCCGCGGGTTAACGGGGCCCGGCCGCGCCCCCAGCGCCGCTTTCTGCCCCGCTCAGGACTACGTGCTGATCCCCTGCAACCTCAGGCTGCAGCCCAGAAGCGGAGGGCAGAGCGTGGTCGGCTGAAGGCTGCTGCCCACGTCCTTGCGCCTGCAGGGCACTGGCAGCAAAGCTGCTCTGCAAAGTTGCTCTGCGGGCTCTTAAACCAAGTTTCACRTTTTCTTCCTGCGTGCAATGCTATAAAAACCCTTTTCTCTTTCTTTACTAAACGTCACTTTCTTGTATTTAGGGAAATAACAGCATTGCACTAGCGAATTTCTCTTCCAGCCCTGCTGTTGGGATTGTTGTTGCACCACCAGGATGGGTTGAGACCACGCTCCATACTTCAATTAAATAATTCTCTTTAATACTGTATTTCCTGGTCTGATCGCTGGTTTTTTTGTTCCCTCAGTGCTTTGCACTGGGTTTTACACTAGGTAAAGGAATTTCCCCTTGCTGAGGACTGGTATCATTATCAGAGACACCAGATCTCATATTTAATTGAGGAAGAATGAAAACRCCACCAATATATAAGGATGTAAAACCGCCCTGTACTTCTCATCTTCAGGAGTACATAGCACCTCCTAACAAGAAATATTTTACCTGCTTTTCTTCCACTTCTAGCAGTGTTACTATGGGAACATGACAGTTGGTTAGTTTTCCACTGAGTGAGGAAAAAAAAAGAGAAAACCATCCCCCTCAGCGCAGTGCTTTCTAATTGCAGACTAATCAGCCCCTCAAAAGCCCTGTTTTTGGTAAAACCCAGGCATGTGGAGGTCCAGGCCTGTCCCTGCACTGGGCTCGAGGCTGCTCGGACAAACCCGGAGTTAAAATAAGGATGGAAACGCAAGTAGAGCTCGGGTCCCCCAAAGCTGAGCTTGGGATGAGGCGGCCAAGCGGAGCRCGGCTGGGAGCACTGGGGCCGCTGGGGCTGGGCAGGATGTCATTGATCATCGTCATTGACGTTATCGACAGCCTGGCTCAGCCAGGCTGAGCTCAGCGGCGGTCTGGGCAGGGACGGCAGCGCTGCTGCTCTCTGCCATCTCCCAGGCTCCAGGGCGGGATGTCTCCCTTCCATCCCAGCCCGTGCGAGCGTATCAGCTACGCACACATCTGCTCCCACTCCCACAATTCAGCACGTCATTCCTAGCCCCTGGAGCCGCCGAAAAGCGCTCGAGAACCTCATATTTCAAAGGCTCTGAAATAGGAAAGCAAACAAAACAAGCCAAGCTGATTTATGACAAGGCAAAAAAACCCTGAAGGTTTATGTGCCCAGCTCGGGGACCTGACTAATGATTTTAATGCCCGAAGCTGGCAATAGCGGGAACTGCTCCTAATGCGGTTTGCTCGCAGAGCTACAGCCATTACTGTTTGGCTAATAAATCTTCAACCATCTCCCCAGAAGGAACAAGCTACAGGAGTGAAGACATTTGTTTATTCGCCGGGGACGCTGTGGCTTGGGGCTGAACCGCGCTGCTCCGCCCGGCAGCCGCCCCGGCCGCGTCCCCGCGTCCCCGCAGACCTGTCCCCGCGTTCCTGCCGTGTCCCCAGGCAGCCTCGTCCCTTCGCGGCCCCTGCGGACRGTGCTGGTGATTTCCCGAGCAGCCCTTTTGGTTCCACATGGAGGGAAGGAAAGAAAAAGCCGAAAGGAGTCATTTGCGTTTGTGCCTTTTGCATTAAAAAACCCCAGTTTTCTGGCGCGGCAGCCGAGGCCCCAGCAGCAGGACTCTCTYTGCAGTGCAATGCTGCCCTTGCTCGGGCAGTGCCACGAAACAGCCCAAGGGTCCAAACCGGGGGCTGCGGTGAAAGGCAGCCCCTGGCTCCCCGCTAATGAAGTGCTAACGAACAACCCCTCCATTCCCTGTTCCCGGGCAGCAGCCCGCACTGCACGGGCCSCACCGCCAGCAACCGGCTCCCACGGGAAAACCGGCACGGGCAGGAAGCAAGAGCGACATCCCGGGCGACCCCCCACCTRCACGAGGAGAAGCCCTGCACCACAGAGCTGGTCCCCGCTCCCCACATGCTGCACAAAGCAGGCAGCAAGGGGGGACAAGGCAACCCCAGAGCTCTCCTTCCCAACCAGGCAGTCACGTCTCGGGGTTCTGTGTCTTGCTCTGGAGCGACAGGGAGCAGATGCCAAAGCACGGCTGGTGGCGGCTGCCGCYGTGCCAGCTAGCGAGGACGGTGCGGACAAGCTGTTCGGAGCCCTCAGCAGACGGGCACCAAAGAAAGAGGCACTGGTGCCGACAGAGCCCAGCGCTCCCACGGAAAGCAGTTAGGACACACAGCAAGATGTCCCRAGGTCACCTCTCCGTACGGACTCGTGGCATGATCCAGCAGCCCGAAGCCACCAACCCCTTCATCAACAACCCCACAGTCATTAATGGACATAAAACCCTGCCCAAGAAGCTGAAGCTTTCTCAGGAAACCCAGAGCACGGGTTCTCGCAGCGCGCAGGTCCCCAGCTTTCCAGCACAAGGAGGTGCTGGACGCCGCAAAGCGAAGGTTTAGTTGCTTTTGTCACCAGTGACATGACCCAGGTTTTACRCCTGTTACTTGCAGCGACTGGTCCCACCAGTGAGTCACGGTATGAGATCTACAAGCTGCTAAAGTTTCTATACTAAGGAATTGCCGTGTGTCTCTCTGGAAAMGGTCCCTTTGCTCCTCCCTGCTTAACCTGGTGCTGCAACTGACACACGAGACTCCAGCCCGAAGGAAATGCTGCTTTCAGAGAGACGAACGAGGAGGTCGCCAAGGTTCCCTGGTTTTCTTTGGAATTGCACAGGCTCAGGTGCTCTGAGCGGGCACTGCTCACCCACCACCCTGCGGGGCCAGCAAAACTAATCCCCCAGCCCCAGCAAACCAGAACGTACACAGCAGGGCTTGCCCAGAGAGGCGCTAAACTTTACCTATGGCACAATAGCTGTTTGCCTTGGAGCCGGGACAAAGCCTTCTTCACATCAACACATCCCTTCCTGCAATAACGATGGACGAGAGGCTGGGCTCACGTGCTCCCRATTGCCCCATCGGTGCGGCAGCTCCCAGGGATCCCTATGGGTTTGGAAGCTCCCAGGGATCCCTACCGGTGCGGCAGCTCCCGGGATCCCCCAGCAGGGACCCCCGCCCCCCAGCAGGGCTCCGTGGCCGGTCCCGCTGCCCATCGCGCGACAGGAGCCGCGCGGCGCCGGGTGCAGCCGCCCAAAGCCACCCGGCACCCACGGGAGAGGCGCCCCRGCGTGTCCCCTGCTCATGGGCACAGCCTGGTCCCTCACGTAGCCCCAGGCATGCTAGTCCCTGCTGGGTTTAGCTGGGTTTACTGGGAGCCCCGGTGTCACCGTGCAGGTTCCCTACCCGATGCAGGGCGCGTGTCACCACCAGCAGCCCGAGAGCCCTTGGACAGGACAGTCCCCAGCAGGCTGCACATCTGGGGCAGCCAAGGAGCCCTGCGCAGCCCTCAAATGTGTCTGGGGACTCTCTCTGCAACTGGAGGCGGCTGCAAACCCAGGGCTCGGCCGCAGGGAGTTAACCACGCTTGTCCTCCACGGGAATGCCCAAAGGGACATCGCCCTGCCCTGTAGCCAGCCATGAAAACCACCCATCTATCAGCCCGCTTTAACAGCGATATCCTCTCATTAGCTCTGCAAAAGCTGGTCATGACTACTAAGCTCGCAACAGCCTCTACTACTGGGAAAAGAAAAATGCCTGTTTGGRAGATTTATGACCTCCAAAGGTTTCTACCCCAAAACATTTATTTTTTGAAATTAAGAGTGCCTGATTTCTTTTCCCCATGACGTGCAGAGACCAATTGAGTRTTAATCTAAGAAAGCATGGACTATTGCAGGTGGATGAACATCCTCCAGTGCTATCGTTCTTCTCTGTTATCCGGTAATTTGCGTTTTCCCCTCAGATTCTCTTAGGAGATGCTTCGCAATCTTGTGAAATCCAATTTCCTCCTAATTTCTGCTTGTGGACTAGCAACCGCTCAACAGGGCCGCAATCAGCCCCCTTGCTCGGAGTAGCTACTGAGCATCCCGCGCTTCCTCCCGTGCAGGTTTGGGTGGAATGAGTTTTCAAACCAAGCACCGAAATCGCCACAGAGCAAAAAAATGCCACAGAGCAAATCCCACAGCAGGAGGCTGGGCAGGTACCCTGCCTTAAAGAGCATTAGAAACAAGAATCTCTTTCCAAGCACTAAAAAAGTAGGAGCATTTATTGAGAGTTGCATGACAAAACGTAGCCTGAGCCTTCTGCTTGGAGCTTCATATTCTTCAGAGCATGGATGGTGACATTACTTAAAAAGCCACATGCAACAACTCAGCTTTTTCATTATATCAAGAACATTTTTTTCTCCTGAGGAACATTTCTTTTTCCAAGGAATTCAACCGTTCAGCTGCAACGCCACATACAATTGCTGTAACTGTGCCCTCTAAATGATGCCAATTCACCACATTAAATATTTGTACATCGAGCTGCCCATCCGTTTTTGGCTTATGCAAGTATCTTAGTACTCACGTGAGCCAGTTAGATTTAAAGTGCCTTAAAATRTCACCAAGAGTCTTGAATCAAGCTTAGAAAAGGAAAGAAGATAACGCCAGTCCTGATGCTTCATCTTTGCTGGTCTCTCTTCCTTTCTTCCTGCTGAGTGGTGCAATCAGACGAGCTCTCCACGTCTTATGGGCTCCCCGGTTCATAAAGAAATTGTCAGCATGTTCTGAGGAAGCAAAGGGACAAAGAAAGTTCTTTCATGACTTTAAAGCTGTTAGGGACCAATGCCCTTTAGCTGACATATTGCTGCCAACAGTATATGGCGAGCAGGACATGGTCTTGCCAAACTGCTCACATTAAATGCCTAAAAGGAGGGTGCAATATTGTTCAGAAAGTGTCAGAGAACATCACAGCTCCCCCRGGACATGGCCAGGATGCAGAGGTCGGGCCTCGGTGCGATTCAGGGCGCTTCAAAGGGTGCCACTCGAAAGGGCATGGACCCCCATGCGCCAACATCAGCAACGTGGACCACTGTCAGGAAAGGAGTCTGGCCAGGGAAATTCAGGGTCCACTCCCCAAAGGGCTGACCATGGCTTGTTCTGCACCCTCCTTAATAATGTGCGTGGGCAGGATGTCCACAGCAGCATCTTCTCATGGCACAATCCTTCCTTGAACTGCTACGCTTAAAATCTACAGCTCCTGCATACTAAAATGTTAATGTGCAGGGTCTTGCTGCAGGAGTCGGGAGCTGGAAATAACCCGCGTCACCTCCGTGGGTGCCTTGTGGGGGGAAAACCTTTCCAGCACTCACCGCRAGGACCTGAACGTCCGCGTTGAGCAGCGGAATGCCCATCATGTTCGGCAGCGGGATCCCGGGGCTGAGGATATCTGCRGGGAAGAGCCGAGGCGGTGGCAGGGCGCGCGGCGCTCCCGGGATGCAGCCGGTCCCGGCGCGGGAGCAGGGCCCTCGGGGGGCTCGGGCACCGCGGGCCGCGAGGCTTTTGGCCTCCCTGCGGTTCTCCGGCAGCAGCCGTGCCCCAAGGGCTGCCCGGGAGCAGGGTGAGCTTGGAGGCCAGGCTGGGGCTCTAACTGCAGCCCCAAATGCTCACTGGAGACCTGCAAGCGCTGCGCAAGAGAGCGGGGATCGCGGCAGCGTGCACGGAAACCCTTCCCCGCTCCCTCCAGAGCGCAGAGCTCTCCAATTTCTACCGCTATTCTGGCCTCCTGTCTGGCTATTTATCTATCTAGCCTGCTTACCATTGCAAAACGGTGTGAACTTCTCTATCAGAAGGTTCCTGAAGTGCGGCTTGAGGCTCGAGACCTGACCCAGGCGAGAAAGAACAGAGTGAGCGGCCTCAGGCGCACACRGGGTCTGAAAGAGCGTCCTCCCAGCTCAGCAAAAGCACCAAGAGCCGCTGCCTCCTTCGCAGTGAGGCTGCTCGTCTGCCTCCGTTTGCACTTGGTGCTTTGGGAAACCTTCTTCCGGATACAACTCTTACTGGAATTCAGTGCAATCTTTGCCAAAGCAGGGGCRAATAACCGCCGGAAAGATGTCAGAATTGATGTTTGCATTACGAGAAAAGGCAAAAGCAAAAAAAAACACAAGCAAAAGAAGAATTGCTGCAATCTACGGAGTGAAGTGGCTGACAGCTAAGGCCTTGGAGGCAGAAGCCACCAGAAGCAGGACATTCGTAGCAGCATCACGCAATGACCTCGCGTGTCCCCAGAGCCACAGCCCTCGCTGTCCCTCTAGCCACGGGCTAAGATTTGCTTGGTGAGAGAGAGACTTACGTTAGTGATGCCAACATCAGAGGAGTCCAAGGAGATGCCCAAGCTGCAGAAAAGGAGAGTGAAGACAACCTGAGAGCGCCCGTCACCCGAGAGGGACTCGCAGAGCACGGATCCCTATCGAAGTCCCCTGCAGTCACCTAACTCAGRCGGCCACCTCGCCCCCAGGCCCGGACACCCCCGGGACATCCCCCAGGCATCCACCGAGGCAGTGCAGGATTTTAAGACCAGAAACAGGCATTCCCATTCTTGCAAGGGAGAAAATAAACAAAAAAAAAAATGAATAAAAGGAACAAACCAATATTAAAACCTATTTTTCACTTGCTTGTAAGTAAAACAGCATTGAAACAGTGCACACCAGCTGCTGGACTGTCCTTCCTTCTCCCAAGCAGTCATTCACATTGACTATTTCAATTATAGCTCTGAGCTCTTCTAAGGCTGTTCTGCTGCTTAGCCCAGGCCACACAGAATCAGAGCCTGTGTGGCCAAGAGCAGAGCTCACAGGAAAAGCTGCCACTCCAGACTGAAAGATCACGAGCCATGGGGAACTTGCTACAGCCCTAACCTACCAGGTCAATCCCGTAACTRTCACCACAGTTAAAAAGCGTGCTTTCTTTCCACTTCCATTTTTTCCTTTCTGCTTCAAATGAAACTTGTCATTTCTTTACCTATTGAGTTAACGACCCCTTTAACACATTTCCATTCCTTATATAATTGCATCCAAGCAATGGCACTGTTGCCTCCCAGTCTAACTCTTTGACAAGCKAAGCGTCTCCAACTCCTCAAACCTCCCGCCCTAGGAAATGCTTTGCAACCTTTAATCACACTTTGTCTGTCGCTAATGACAGCACTTCCCTTTACTCCTTTATCACTCAAGTCCAACACTARGCATTTCAAAGGACTGCCCGGGATCAAAGTCAAGCTGACAGTCTTACAATTACTCAGACTACCTCATTCCTCCTTGTTATAAAGCAGAGGTTTTCTCCAGGCTCCAGGAAAGTCTCCCACTGCTGCAATACCTTTGAAAATCAGCAGGACCTGCCTCCACCTCACAGAAGTTCCCAGATTCAAGAAATCTGYGTCTTACAGACAGTGAAAACTATTTTAAGTTGGCCCTGGCTCCCTAACGCTGCAATGGGGAATCTCACAGGGATTCAATAGCATCGTGCAGGTGGCATCTTCACGGGAGGGCTTCTGTGTCACTCCTGTCACCTACCCCTAGGGCACCTCTACCACTGTCACCTGGTCACAGATGAGCACTGCCAAGAGCACATGCAGTGTCCCTAATAAAATGAGGTCCTGCCTTTGTCCACACTCTTCCAGCCCCCCGTTCCCACAAAACTCCATCTCTGCGTTAAGCTCCAGCAAAGCTGGAGGTTCTCGGCGCTGCTGAGCGCCCGGGACCAGCTCGGGAGGGGAGRCAGCACCAGGCATGGCCGGCTCCTCTCCGTGCTCCGTATCGGTGCGTGGAGGCGCGTTACCTGCCCAGGGACACGGCCAGCATCAGCCTCCCGCCCGCGATGGAGAGGCGGACGCGCAGAGCCAGGTCCTGCGAGCAGAGAGCGCGCATCAGGGCCGCGGAGCGCGCGGGGCCGCGGCAGCCCGAGCCCTCCCGCCCGCGCTTACCGCCCGGAGGAGCAGCAGGCTGAGGACGGAGCCGTCGGAGCGCAGCGAGAGCAGCTGCACACTGGCGGAGAGGTGCAGCGTGGCCTTGTTCACCTCCAGGGAGCAGCGCGGGCTGCCGGACAGGGAGATCTTGACGCTCAGCGGAGCGGTGCGGGAGCAGCCGGAGCACTGCGGGAGCGCCACACGGAGCTGCCACCCGCAGCACGGAGCTGCTGCCACGCGGAGCTGCCGCCCGTGACACGGAGCTGCTGCCCACACCGCGGAGCTGCCACCACGGCACGGAGCTGCCGCCCGGGCAGCGCCGGGGCTGGCACGGGGCTCGCGCACCCCTCTGCCAACCAGCACCGCCAACCAGCACTGCCCGGCTTGACAGGGCAAAGGAGAACCTCTCAGAGCATCACAGGGGATTTTAGCAGCAGGGAGTAAAATGCATAATAAATCCCAGGAGAGGGAAACTGAAGCTCGGGGCTCTCACTGCAGGATGTAAATTTGCTGATTGACCAGCCGGGACTGTGTCTACACATCCCTATCAACCCCGCGGCAGAAGCAGCTCTCAGCTTAGGGCAGGAACAGACCGCRGGAGCAAACGGGGATATTGTGGCCACACCAGGGGTCCGCGGTGCCCAGGACCAGCCCAGGTCACGGGGATGTGGGACACCGACCAGCTGGGGAGGCCAAGGGCTCAAGCCGAGGCCCATCCTTCACTCGGGGCCGGGAGAGGACAGCAGCTCCGGCGCCGGGAAGGACACGGTGCCCCTGAGCACTGGTGTGCCCCGACCCTCGGGCAGGGCTGCGGTGACGGGATTTGGCCGCCGCGCACGGAGCAGGAGGGCACAGGACACCGGAGACCGTCCGCGCTGGAGCCCAGCGGCTCCGCTCGGCCACCCCCGGCCCCGGGGATGTTTACACAAACCTGGCCCGGGACCAGGCACTCACCCCGGCAGGGAAGAGCTTGGTGACAGCTTCTCTCAGCTGCTTGGCACCGGAGAACTGCGGGAACAAAGGAGCAGGGAGCTGTGGGCAACGCGCCCCACGGCGCCCACCCGCCGCCCGGCTCTTCCAAACCCATTTTCAGCCAGTTTGTTCACATTCCTGGGGCCAGTCCCACAACCTCCTCCGTCACCCACTGTCCCCACTGACACAACAGGGCAGCACCCGCTGTTATCTAAGAGCTCAGCCCCTTTGGGTGCTCCACCASTGCTCAGGCGGCTCTCGGTCAGTTAAGGTGATGCAAGAACCACCRCAGCAGAACACATAACCCAGAGGGGTTTGGCACTTTTTAGTGCATAAATCTCTAATATCTTCCAGTGCAAGTTGAGAGGTATGGAAAATGCACGTGTCAAGAACTGTACTGCATGCACCAAGTCGCTTTTCTTCTTGGAAACGCAGTGCAGACCCCCAGGAGCCAAGGGCACAACCAGAGCAGCCAGATTGCACGGGAATTGGACACATCCCAATGGACACATCCATATGGGAGCAAGAAGGGCTGGTGACTGTACACGCGAGCACAGCTCTACAAGGACAGCAGTGAGGACAGGCTGAGGCTTTAGCACCCAGCACGGAGCAAGGCGCAGACCAGGCTCCTCGGAAAGGCTGYGCATGGGCTGGACCCCTCGCCCGGCAGCACCGAGCCCACGGCGTCCGTCCCCTCCCGGCCACCCCGGCGYGACGCCCGCTGCTCCGCACTCACGGTTTCGGGCGTGCAGGCGAACGTCTGCACCTGCCTGCGGAGGAGGAGGCCCAGCGCGGCGTCGAGGAAGCCCTGGTAGACTGCTATGACGAGCAGCTTGTTGTGCGGCAGCGGCGGCAGGGCCAAGGGGGACGAGTCGTAGGGGATGACGCCGCCGCCCGCCTGCTGCACCACGGCCTGCGGACGGACAGGACRGGCGCTCCCGAGGGACCCACAGAGCCTCCGCGTCTGCCGGGACCCGCGGGACAGCGCCCCAAAGAGCCTCCGCGCACCGAGAGCTTAGGAAAGCACCRAACCCGCAGAAATTCAGTATTTAACACATGAAAAGAGCTGATAAAGACCAGATCACACAACAAAGTCCTCCGTAGCTAATCGGTTCACCCTGCACATGCCAGCACATCTCACTGCCTCATCCCCTCCCGGAGGCTTTGCTCCAAGGGCAGGCGAGCGCCGAAGACGCGGTCAGCGGAGCCGTTGCCTTTGCTCTTTCGCCTGTTTTGTTGTTTATTTTTGTTTTTTCGTGTTGTTTATTTTCATATTTTACTTTGCTTGTTTTCCAATGAGATAGCATTAAAAGATACATTAATGCAAAAAATGCATTAACTTGGTTTAGCATCACACACCACGGAGACTGATCAATGAAGGCAAAAAGCATCAACACGCAGTGAGCAGGCAGGGGAAAGGAGAGGGGGAAAGTGCTGGTGCCAGGGGGCAGTTACAAATAACAGACGCACGAGTCGTCTCAGGATAAACCTGCAAACAGAAGTGAAGGCTTGAAGAAAAGCACACAAAGACTTTGCATTAGGAGGAAAGGCAAAAGAGAAAAAAAAGAAGGAAAAAAAAAAAAAAGAGCAGCAAGAGAAGATTTGCAGCAAGGCCTAAATATTTAGCTAACATTTCCGGAACAAACATTCATTCAGCTCTTCTGTTTCGTTGTACCGAAGGAAGACAAGTCTCCCCAGGGGATCAAGGTAAATGGTGCTGAAAGAAACGACGCTGCAATCAAAATCCCAGGGCTTTGTTACCTAATATTTAACTTACCTCTAAATCCAGCCCCAGGAAGGAGTCAGTTGTAAATGGAGTGCTGGCCAGTTGATACTGAATGGCTCCTTCTGTGCCAACCTGGATCACCTCTTGGAGAGCAAAGGAGCAGCAAAGCATTAGGAGATGAAAAGCAACACGAAGCCCTTCTGCGGTCCTCAGATCGCCAGCACCCGGAGCTCACACCCGCACACACATACTGAGCATTGCTGCTGCTCCAAAACGGGSAGAACATCAGGTCGGGTGGGATCTGTGTTCTGAATAAACCCCTTAGAAAGTGCCAAAGAGGGTCAGCTAAAGCCAAGAGCAATGTGTGGAAACAGCACAAGGAGGAGCTGGGTGAGAGCGGGTCCCTGGGAGCGCTCAGGTGCGGGCTCGGTGCTGAACACCCGTGAGCACCCCATGGACACAGGTGAGTCTGGAACACGGGAGTGTCTGGGACCTCTCTTCCTCCCCATTTGTGGACACGGGAGCACACGGGCCGGGCTGGACTGCAGGTCACAGCCGAGCTGGAGCTGCCGGGGAATGCTCTGCAAGGACGAGCTCCGGGATACAGCCAGGAGCCCGAAAGGTCACAGTAGGAAAACAATTTTCCCAAAGGCTGCAAGAAGAGCAGCTAATATTTATTCCTGATTTATGCCTATATTCATTCCTGATTTATTCCTTTTCCAGCATTGCCCAGGGACTCCTGGATCCTCTCTCCCCTTCCCCTCCCCGTCCCCTCAGAGACAGTGTGTTCACTCCGTGTGAACACGGCCCTCGGAGCAGCGCAGGTCCCGCAGCCGCCTCGTGTCCGCGGGACCCTGCGGAGCAGGAGCGCGGCGGGCCRGGGGAGCAGCCGGGATCAGGCGCACGGACGTACCGTTGAGCGTGCTGAGCACCTGCAGGCCCACGATGTTCACCACGACGTTCATCACGGAGCAGAGCTGCAAGGGGGCATGGAAGCGGGGCCGTGGGCGAGCGGAGCCGGCGGGCACCCAGCCCCGCGGCCCTTGGCACAGGGGGGCTTTGGGAAGGAGCCGGGAGCCCCGGGCTCGGGAGCTGCCCTCATGGGAGCTGCTCCGAGCCAGCAATACTGAAGCACCGCTCCGCAGGGAGCCACGGCGCCCGCAGCGCCCTGTGTCGGGAAGGGCAAGGCAGGGGATCGTGCCGCTCGCCGCAGCGTTCTAACACGCTGCTCCTGCTATCCCTGTATTTCAGCTACAAAAGCACAGCAGCCCGTGCACTTACCAAAGCCGGCAGGGTCCCGGTGAGCTGGGTGTGCACCAAGTCACTTAGCGAGAGGGACACCAAGCTGCGGGAAAGAGAAGGAGGGATGAGGGCAGAGAGTGCGTCAGCCCTGCACACAGGCTCCCGGGGGCATCGCTGCCCTCATCCGTCCTTCCCCGTCCCTCGGGAGCCGCGGGAAGGGCTGGAGGGAGGGCGGGCAGGACAGGGCATCGCTCGTTCCACAGTGGGACACGCGGCTCCTCTAGGAAGGGGATGAACCTCCCGTGCCCTTCTGCTCTGGCACCTAAATCAGCGTTGTTAAGGCGGGGGGGATGGATTTAGAACATCTCCATGTGAGCTGCGGGAAACCACGGATTAACATGAGGAGAATTCCACATGGATTAACAAGAGGAGCAATCTGCTGTGCAGCATTTCGGCACCACTGCTGAACAGCTCGGTCCGGGGGATGCGCTGCCTGCGGCCGCTTAGTTTCGATAATCAGTATAATTCCAGGCTACGGAGCTGGAGCCCAGAGCAGCACACGGTGCAAGGCCGAAGCAGCAGGAATCCATGAGGATGAGTCCCGTCACCGAGGGCAGAGCTCTGTGTGCTCCTGCCCAGCCYGTCCCCTGCTCCGACCCGTCCCAGCGCTGCCGGGCCGCCCTCCCCACTCACTTGCCTAGAATCTTCCCYATTAGCTACTGCAGCGAGAAAAGAACGAGGAGAAATTGCAGAAAAAAGCCCATAATTCCAAACCAGGAAATGTTCACGATAATCAGTTTACCTGACCCAGTGACCAACACAAGAAGACAGCAGGGCCACGGAATTAGCAGACCGAGGCAGAGAGGGGCCACTCGTGCRGAATTCCCGGTGCCAGGGCGGCCGGACGGAAAGTCAGAGCTGCAGCACGCGCTGTGCTCGCGGCAGAGACCGGGCRCACGCTGAGCACGCGCTGCTGCGAGCGTCCTCCCGGGCCGGCGTTCCCGCCCCGCCGGAACGGCTCATTAGCCAGCTCTACAGGGAGCAGCACTGAACTTCATGTTCAGATCTCTAGTTCAGGCAGGATTGCCTGGACAAGCAGAGCAGATTATCCCACGTTTTCCAGTAGCCTTTTTTAGGCCGTCTTCCACAGAAAGAGCTCGCTTTGGCAAAGGGAGTAAATCAGTTCTACGGAGGCCCAGCTCTAGACCAGCTTAGCACTGCCTAAGTCCTGGCAGCCTGTTTACTGACAGACGGAGCAGAGGATTGCTGGCAATGTAAAATATAAATCCAGACACTTACCCAGAAAGGAGATTCAGCTTCAGGTCACCAAAAATACAGAGACAGTCTTCAACAACAACCTGCACCGTTCCCGATTCGTAATTTGTGCACTTAATGTTCATACCAACGGACACCTCTGCTACGATATCAATTACTTCYGAGAGAAGACCCATCAAGCTGGAAAAAGTAAACGGGGCAACTAGATCAAATCTCTTAGCTTTTAAAGAGAGAAAATCAGCAAAGCCCATCAGCAAACAGCACCTCCATCTACTGTCACCCATTACCAAAGCCACGTGTCACCCTTTGCGCCTGTTCCACCGTGTGGCTTGATGGTAAGTTAGAATCGTCAGGAAATCCACAAAAGCAGCAAAACGTGAYGGAAGAGAAAGGCTGTGGATGGGGTTTGCTCTAGCAAAGGCGGCGACCGCRGCACTCACCAGTTGCCTCGGAGGTCCAGCTTCATGATGATGGACACCTGCACGCCGATGCCGGGCCGCAGCATCACGGAGAGGTCCAGGAAGCGAGCCTTGACGAGGCGCAGGCTGCGGCAGCGGCGGGAACGTGACCGAGCGCCGCGGAGCCGCCCGCCCGGCCGGCCCACCGCGTGTGCGCCTGCTCAAGCCGGACTTAGTACTTAAGCCGGGGTGCGAGTGCTCAGCCCAACCACCCCCGCGGCAGGGCTCCCCACTCACCCCGTGATGCTGATGTGCAGGTTGAACAGCCCCCCGTCGCCCACGATGTCGGAGAGCACCAGGTGCTGCAGGTGCTGCTGCAGGAGCCCGTTGCGGAGGATGGCGCCCGAGAGAACTGCGGGAGCGCCCGCGTGAGCACACGGCCCCGAGCCCTTCCCCGCGCGCTCACGCGCCGCATCGCACCGGGCACAGCGTTTTACATTAAGAAAAACGAATTTTCAGCAGCCATAAAGCCAGCCTCCACTCAGCGAGCTAACCAGGAGAGGTAACGATATCAAGTACCCCAGAGCTCCGACCTGAAGGTTAAATTTGTGCATTAGCAGAAAGGAATCAGCAGAATCAGAAACGGTGCCCRACCTGCAATATTTGATTCCCGCTTGTAAAGGATTTAAAAGAAAAAAAAAAATTTGAAATTAATTGCTCTGTTTTTTGCTGAAGCTTTGCAAATATTAAGGTGGCTGTTAAACTGCAGAGCATTTTTTGGTGAAAATAAGCTGCTGGGAAATGGGAAACTAAGCCAGAAACTAAGCCCAAAAGAGGAAATAATTCACACGCAGCCCCAGGAGTCTCCACGGCCCTTTGGTGCCAGACGCATCTCGGCTCTGTATCTAGAGACTCCCCTAAGAGCCCATGGACACAGCAAGTCCGTCAAAGGCTCCAGCAACACCTGGAGGCCCCGAGCGGGTGTAAAAACCAGAAAAGCAAAAAAGCAGCAAAACAGAGATGAAGGGAGCAGAGAGAGTGGATTGCAGCTGGCRGCTGCCGGGAGCTTTCCCAGGAGCGCCAGCCGCGCGCCCTCCTACCGTTCTGCACCGCTCGGGGGCTGACCGCGCAGGACAGGCCGGGCACCCCCTGCGAGGGCGCCAGGAGGCCGCAGAAGAGGAGGATCCCCCAAAGCCGGAACATCTTCGTCTGCACACGGACCCTCCTGCTGGCACGGAAACGGCAGAGTGAAAACCAGGAAAAAACCAAACCTCTAAGAGGAGATCCGAGTCTGCAGGGAGATACAGACCRCAAGAGCACTCGTGCCCATCCTCTCTACTGGGCTGGGACCCCAGGGAGTTGTCTGGGTTCAAGCGTGCGGACGGGCTTCAGGCCCGGCTCAGTGAAACCCCTTACGTTCGCCTTGCGACTTGCCCAAAACACCCGGGATGTTCACACAAGGGGAGGCAAACCGCTTCTCCTGCCCTTCATTAATGTTTAACCAGGCCTCGCTTTCCATATCCTTCAGATGGAAAGTTATGCTTCTTTTATAAGGATGTTTGCCAAGRGGAAAAAGCTCAGCATTACTCTTACTCTTTTTAATTGCCAAAGGCATCAAACTAAAGCTGAAGTAACAAAAGTTATATAAAGGGAAGTCTATGGCCGTAATTGAATGGTTATTGACCCAAACTGAATTTCAAGGCTCTCGACGGGCAGCTGAGCAGCAGCAAATGCTGTGATGCAGGACGCAGCCGCGAGCACTGGGATGCTCTTACCTGCATCCACCGCGGCGGCCCCGCGGCTCCGCTCCCTCCGGGCGGCCTCTCCCGCGTTTTTCCCCAAAGGGGCTGGAAGCGGCGGCTGTCCCGGGCTGCGGCCACGCAGACACACGGATCCCTCGCAGCTTCCCCCTTCACATCCTTCCCGCGGCGCCCGCGCGCCGCTCTATATCCCCGCGCGTCGCCGGCGGCTCCCGGCTCCACCTGCGCTGATTTATAGGCGGCAACGTCAGCAGCGCCGCGCGCGCCGCCGGCTCCTCCGCGGTGCTGCCTTCTGCCCCCTTTAAAAAGGGGAACCTGCACCTCGAGCAAAGCAGCTCGTAGGAAAGCACGGCACCTGCTGAAGGCCCCCAGCAAACTCAACCAAGGGCAGAATAGGGAGCATCTCCCTGAGGACGAGCACCCACAGAGCTCCTGCCGAGCACATGCACCTTATCAAAGGGGCTCGGAGAAAGGATCTCCTTTCCCCCGAGGAGACGAGATTTATAACCATCCTTCCTGGTTCAAGTGYGGCACTGGAAAAATATTTTCTTTAGAAAAAGCAACTTGGAAAGCTCTCAGAATCATGATAAAGATCAGTTTTAAGGCTGAGCTTCAGAACGGATTTCAATTGTATCTGTTAAGAGATTCATGAATCGATTGCAAAAAATACAGTTGCCCTGAAATGTGTTAAAAACAACAATAAATASAGTTCTGATAAGTAATGTGCACAGGAGCCAAACGCGCTGCGGGTGCACAAGTGGGTGCTCCCCAAGGAGCAGCAGCAGCTTCCCGGAGCGCGAGGCGCCTCCGTGCACGGCGCCGAGCGCTCGGCCGGCTCCGCGCCCGGCAAGTTTCCATTGTGCAGGGCCAGCTGACGTTATCCCGGCGCTTTGTTGTGCTCCGCTGAGCCGTGCGCGGCGGGAGCAACCACATGCGGGAGCGGGAGCGGGGCAGGGATGGCATCGTYGCCATCCACGCAGCGGGCCAAACGCCGGGAACAGGGGGGACAGTGGTGAAGGGAAAATGTTGGCCTGTGAACAAACACCAGTGAATAAACCCAGGCTAAAATGAGCAGAAAGCTGCTCTGCCCAGAGAGCCCCGAGCAGCTTTCCCACCAGGATACGGAGGGCTGAGCAACAGCACCAAGGTGCCATGCATCTGCACGGTGTTTTCCAGCAGCGACGGGAGACGCTCCCGGGCAGGGATGTCCCGTGGCTGGGCTCCCTGGGCCTCGGCTCTCACAGCATCCCTGCAGGAGCTGCTCTTTTATTTAAWATGCACTTAAATCCAGGCTGCGTTTGACCTGCTGCTGACAGCCTGGTGCCAGAAACAAGGAGYGAGTTTAGCTTCTCCAAGGCGGCTGAAGAGCAGCAAAGTCAAAACTCACCTTTTTTGCCCCAGGTCCCACAGCTCGTCCATCCGCGGTGGTGGCCACACAACCTGGTCAGAGCTGGGGACGAGGACAAGGACCCRGTGCAGGGCTTGGTCCTCCAGTGCCACCCAGACCAGCGGCTCCAAAAGCAGATTTGCAGACTGGATCAGCCACGAATCAGCTGCACAACGAACAGCTCAATTATTGCACATGCCCAACGTGACTGGTGCACAAGGCAGACGGTCCTGCAGCTAAACGGCCCAAGACAGAKCCCGGATGCACCCAGGCACCCGCGTTGCAGCAGCAGTAAGGCCACCCTGTCAGCAATGCAGAGCATTTCACACCGGGCTGCTTCTTGCTAAGCATTTATTTTTTTTTCAGTCAGATTCTCCACTTCTTTCTCATTTACCTCTATTTCATTCTCTCACTGTAGCTRTGATTTAGGTCTCACTTACCCTAACAGTGAATTTAGTGCTGCTGGGACAAGGGAATATATATTAAAATGAAGCACTGCAAGAAATGCTAGAAAAGACCACAACAATAGCAGAAAACCTCCTGAAAGAGTGATGTGAAGTCAAGAGCCCTCCAGAGCAGCCTTCAGCACCTGAACGTACCCAGACTCGCAGCTCTAAAAAGACAGACTGAAAAACAGCAGGTAACCCCAAAGAGTAACATTTAAGCACACAAAAAAGATCTTTTCTATTAAGCATGGTTCTGCTTTCTGTCTTTTTTCCTCTGGCATCCAGAATCACAGAATTTGAGAGAGAAATCGGGAGTATCGCAAACGTGTCTTAAAGTAAAATATTAAGCAACATAAAGAGAAAAGAAYTGAGAATCTTCCTCCGCAGTTTGTAAAACACGTAGACATTTCGATGCCGAGATGCTTTTTCCCACCCACGCTGGAGGAACAGCAGCTTTATTTATGTGATGAATAAAGAGGAGCAACTTTGGTCTGTAAAACTCCTTTAACGGGCAAATAGTAACTCCTTTTCAAGAACACACACCATCTCTTGAGGTGAAAGAAGAAACAAATCTGGTAGCTTAAATTACAACCGATAATTGAGCTGACTTATCCAGACCTGCAGCCTGCTCCCGTGCRGGCGCACTTCCTGGCAGCGAGCGGCGTGGACGTTAATAAAATTGCTCACTTCAAATTTCCATGGAAAATAACTTCTGAGGTCACCAGGAYGAAGCAGTCAGCCCAGGAGAACAGCACTGCAGGGCTAGAAAGCAGCGGGTAGGAGAAACGTCATCGGGAGCCTCCGCCCCAGGCGGCTGGAATAAACACTGGGAAAGGAAAGAAAAAGTTAGGAAGGAATTGTGAAACGCTGACTGCATCTGGGCCGTGGGTTTCCAGAATTGGTAAAGTTCCCCTTGTGAAGCCGGGTCCCTGCCGGTCCCTCCTGCTGGGGMACGGGGAACAGCCAATGCCTTGGCCGGGGAGATGGGCAGCGGCAATTCAGTGCAGAAATGGGAAAGCTGGAGGGGTTTAGTAGGAATTGTGGATGAAAGAAGATTCTCCTGGAGCTCCAGGCCTGGACTTCATCCCTGGATCGCGGGAGCTGCCCAGCTCCTGCAGCAGCCTGGGCAGCTCCCGTCGCGAGCGGTGCGCAAGGGCCAGGCAGCGCAATTAGCGCTAACGAGCCTCCCAACAATGCTGGCCTCGCTGCGGGCGCACCCTGACCCGCGCCGTGCAGCTCGGCGCATGCACGGCATGCGGACGTCAGAGCATCCCCCGGCCTCTGATCGCTCGCCCGTGCTGTTTCCTACACCTGCACCGCCGGGGAGGCGATGCCGAGGACGGGCCGYGCGGAGAGCACGAGGAGGAAGACGAGGGCGAGCGCGAGGCGCCAGCCCGAGCTGCTGCTTGCCAGGACGCCTGGGAACGGCCGCAGCGACCACTCCATGCACCTGCCCTGCTCAGCACAAACCGCGAAGCAGAGCAAAATCACTGCAGGGAGATAACAGCTAATCAGCGTCTTGGGGAGCTTCAGAGGCAGGAGACTTCCTGCTGCCAAATGAGCGCCAAAGGAAAACGAGCAGAACGCTGTGGGCTGCAGGGAAGGGTCAGCGCTGCAAGCAGGCGCCGCAGCGGCTCAGGGACCCCCCGGGAGGATCGCGAGTGGAGCTGGGGTGGCCGAGCTCATGGCACRGGTGGCAGCTATGCTGGCATCGCGGGATGGCAGCCTGGAGCGGCAGGGACGTCTGCGACGAGACCTCGAGCGCGGCCGGGCGGCGGACGCGGAGCCTTTGCAGAGAGGAAGGCCACGTGCTTTGCGCTGGTGCCACTGGGTTTTATGAGGCTCAGGAGGTGCCTGTTGCTCCCTGGGCTCTGCTGGAGAACAAAGTGAAGTCTCAGAGCTGCCTTGAACCGCTCCCTGCGTGGAGATCTGGCATTTTGCCTTGGTCAGGGCCACCACACTCCAGGTTCCCCTGGCACTTCCTTTTCCTTGCAGCCCAGAACAGCTGAGCGTGGCTGCTCGGYCTGATGTTTCTAGGGCCTGGTGAGACCAGCAGAAGCCACAGCCTCCTTCTGGACACCCAGGAAGCCCAGGCATGGGCGGTGCAGTGCACGCACAGACTGGTTCCCCGCACGGGACATGGGGCCAGGAGCSCCCCAAGCGCTGCAGACACTCACCTATTCCAGCAGAAATGTGCTGCAGACGTCCTGCCGATGCAATGAGCATCCTAAAGTCCAACCTGGTCCTATCTTTTAAACAAACTAATGCTGCACCTGCCTCCTCCATCGCTTCAGACGGCTCGTGCTGCGAGCCCAGGGAACACCTCAATTCCTCTTCACTCCTCATTCTTCCAATTTATTCCTTACCTTTCTTTCCAGTCCGTAAAATGGATTTCTGTCCATTCCATTGTCTAAGGAACCATCTGCATCGCAGCACCAACAGAGACATTAAATGAAGACAGCAATTTCCCTCTGATGGCGAGCGCGATGTGGGGCCAAAGCCACATTTCCATCTTGCCCGAGCTCACTTCACAGAGCTCAGCGAGGCCGAGGGAAGTTTGCCTTGATGAAGACTCTTAATCCCAGGGAGGAATTAGCAGCAGCCTTTATTACAGAAGTTTATCTTGTGCTTTCTGGTGCATTCTTAGCTTCCAGCAGAGCCGGGGGGGCAGCACTGGCAAGGGAAGGAGCAGGAACGGGGCTCACAGGAAGGAGATGGGTATTCCCAGGAGAGAGGGGCACCTCCTCCGCGCACTGCCGGCCTCGAAAGCGGGGCCGCAAACGGGAGCGCGAAAGGAAACACGCGGGGCCCTCGCAGCGGCGGCGCCGGGGCTTGAACCCGCGGYAGAGGGGGCACCGGGGCTCGAACCCGCGGTCCTCGGGGCAGAGCGGGGTGGGGTGGGCGGCGCCCCCGCGGTTGTGCCGCCCCCTGGAGGCGCCGCGCGGTGCCGCAGCCTCGACACGCGTGGGAGCGCGTGGGATCAATTCCCGGGCACTGGGATGTGATGCACGTGCATAGACTCCCTTAATCCCCCTTAAACGCCCCCAATTAGGGGCTGCAAAGAACTAGGCACCAGTCCTGCAGACGCATGGGCGGGAGCGGCGCTCAACCGCCCTGCTCCGCACTGTGGAATCGACTGAATAAAAGGCCAGTTTCCCTCCRCGCGAGTCAAGCCCGGCTGCTGCAGCCTGCCCCATCAGCAAAAAGCCCTTTCCAGGCACAGGCAGCAGGAATACGTGCAGGGAATCGCGCGGCACTGGGGAATTTCACTGCAGCTCTGCCAGCCAGGACGCAGCGGCACCAACACACCTGGCCATTAACAACACCTCCAAGCGGGAGCGCTGGAAGCCCGGAGGCAGCCGCAGCTCCAGCCGCCCTTGGCTGCCCGAGGCGAGGGGCCTGGCTGCCTCCCTGATAAAACCCGGGAGCTTCAGGGGCGCCAGGCACTGTCAGAGGAACCTTCTCAACATCAAAGTCCCAGCAGGGCTTTTAGCGAGACTTCAGAAAGCAAGTTAAGGATTTTTAGCACATTGTACCCCAAGCAGCATCAAAGAGCCAAGGGCTGCAGGGAACTGCCGCTCAGCAAAGCCACCGGCAGCACGGAAATGGAGCTGAACTGAGGAGCTTCAGCACCAGCCTTCGAGAAACTTTCATGTCCAGGAGCTGAGCACTCTGGATGCTTCCAGGGAGCAGTTTGAGGGGGAAAAAAAATGAAAAGAAAAAGAATCGACTCTCCTATTTGCCATACAAAGTGAGGCGTAGAGCTGCTCTGAGCCTGTGCAGAATACATATAGACACCCCGGTGAACGCTGCCAGCCCGCAGCTCCCAGCCCAGGGTCATTCCCGGCACRCTGCGGGAGCCGTTCCCGTGCGGAGCGGAGCTGGCTGCCTTGGGACAGACCCCTCGTCCATAGACCCTGCGCCTGGGAGCGCCGGGCACCCCAGAGCCTGCAGCCCCGAGCCCTGTGCCAGGGGAAGCTCCTGCAGCACCCGCGGGTCCAGCCGCACCGGCCGCAGCCGTCCCAGCCCCACACAGCCGGGCCCGGCAGCACCGGGAGAACGTGGAGCGATGCTGGGGGAGCAAAGGAGGAGAGCGGGATGCCGAGGAGATGCCCTTTCCTTGGGAAGGAGAGCAAGCACCCAGGAAGCCAAGAGCAGCGTGGCCCTGGAGCCACGTGTCTGGATCTCCTTCCCTGGATCTCCTTCCTCCCCTCCTGGAGCCTCGTGTCCCCCTGTGGACAACAGGCCCCGAGGGGCTGCTCCCCGGGCAGGGCAGCAGCTGAGCAAAGCGCGGAGAGACTCCAGTGCTTTGGACAGAACCTGCTAAGGGCTTTGCTCTCATGCAAGCRGCGAAGCCCTGCAAGCCAAGAAGCAGGTCTCCAGGTTGTCATGCGACTGAAAAAGAAATCAAAGCAGCATTAACTTAATGCCAGCCCCGGGTGCCTCCGCTAGCAATCAAGACCACCTTCAGCTCCACCAACACGCAGCAACTTGTAAAAGCCGAGCTCAAGCTGTATTTCATGGATTGAATTGCTTCAAATCTCCAAGGAACAAGTGTCAGGACTCAATAGCTACAGTGGTAATAACAAAACAGGGACCTCTTCCAGTATCAGAGCACAAACAGCAGTTATTTTTCTTTCAAAGCTTTGATTCCTAAAACCTTTCTTACATTCAGCTTGACATCAAAACACCCATCTCATTCACTTGCACTGTCACAGGAGACTTGTGTGCTGCTATTAGGAATAGCCCTGAGGTGAATTAAGAGCAGCCTGTAATGATGTTCCACTGCAGCAGCTTTATTTCTAGCAAACCAAATAAATGAGCAATATTTTATCTGCTGTGCCCGGGCTCGGCAGAGAGCGGCAGCTGCTCCCCGCGTGATTTATTGAGCGGATGCTTCCTAAAGAGCCTGGGTCGGGTGCCGGAGCCAGCCACAGAATCTCTTACTCTTAATGGCCCAGCACGGAGATGGAGAGAGGAATCCACGTTCTGAAGAGCAGCAAGCTTGGGCATGAGCAGTTTTATTTGCTCTCTTTGCTGTATAAAGACACCACACGTGCAAGGAGCTGCATCACCGCGGTGCGTGCACGCTGATGGGCAACAGCCGGCAGCAGCGGCAGGGGACACGGAGCACGTTCCGTGAGCACCGGAGCCACCCAGAACCCTTGGGGACACCGTGGGTGACAGRCACGCACGGAGCATCCCGCGGCGGAGCCGGATCCTGCCCTTTTGCCTCTTCCCGCTGCACAGGGACGAGCGGGACGGCGCTGCGGTGACACTGGGTGCACGGAGCCTCCGTGCGCCCCGCGTGGCCGCCCCGCAACCAGCGGCCCTTGCAGGGCTCCCCGAACTGCAGGGTTCAAAGGGGACGAGCGGAGCCCCAGGGAACCGCGCGGTGCCGAGCAGCACGGCCGGGCCCCTCCGCGCCAGGAAGGAGCAGGTTTCCCCCAGCAATCCCCACACGGGGTACCAGCAAAGACCTCCACAGCAGAGACGTTATTTAGACTCTAAAGAGGGCTGGACACGTGCAGGGACACTGAGGACGCACACAATCATCACAGCCGTGGTAACGTTGCAGGCTCATTTCCCTGCAGCGGGCTCCAGCTCCACGTCAGCGAGTGCCAAGGCAGAAGGGGATGAGGCACCAAAGGCACCGTGAGATGCATGGGAAAGGTCCAAGCACCACCAGTGCCCCCTGCCCCAGCGCCCTGCTGCGCCGGGACTAGCAATGTCACCGCCGAGCCAGGGGCACGAGCGAGGGACTCACCAGGCTTCCTCGGAGAGACGCTGGCTCCAACAACGACCATCCGCGTGACTGCTGCTTGAACGTAGCCAGGCTGGGAGCAAAGCGCCACATCCCCGTGCTGGGCCGTGTCCGTCAGGCCTGTCTCCAGTGAAACATCCGCGAGCCTTAAAGCAAAAACAGCTGAAACCATTCACAGAGCGCTCAGAGCACCAAGGACAAGTCCTGATGCTGGTTCAAGCCTCTTTGTGCACATTTCCAAACCCAATTAGTCTCTGATGCCAGCAGGGCACCTTTTCACTCCAGTATTCTTCTCCATGAATAAAAAAAATAACAATATTCCATGGTTGACTAATAATGCATTTAAAGACATAAGCATCCACCTGGCCTTGCCATCAATGCCTGGCACGAGCATTTGCAACAGCAAATTATTGACCAGAAGCTCATGAGCCAAGATATAAACAGGTTATAGATTCAATAAACACYGCACTAAAGCATTTCAAAACAAACCCTACAGCACTCGTTTCGCCTGCCTTCCTAGACCAGTAGTCAAATATGTGTTTGCTAGATTAGAACTACTTTGCTGTGCCATCCAACAGTGGAAAGAGAAAAAAGAATCGAGATAAAAAGAAGGCATATTTGAGCCCATAACGGATTTATTAATTCAATTTACATTTGAATCAATTATCCAGACAAAGCTCAAACGCTGCCATACGATTCAGACGGCTGAGCACACACGGAGCGCAGCGCGAGGCGTCACCCACACGCCCGCGCGGGCAGGCTGCAGGACGCAGCCTGCAGCCGGAGCAGCACCGCGCTGCACAGCTGCGAACGGAGCCTCGGAGACCTCCCGTGCAAAGCAAACGTTTAAATGCAGCCCCGCGGACCAGCCATAAAGGCTTGGAAGGTGGCTGGCCCGGGAGGRGCTCGGCTCGAGCACAGCGGCACGGAGGAGCCCCGAGCGCAGCCGAGGGGAGCGCGGCCGGCGCCGAGCTGGGGTTTTGCTTTGCCGATGCCCAGTTCCTCCTTGGGCAGCGGGCCTGGAGGGGCTCAGGCCCAGGCGAGCTCGGAGCAGGCGACACTTCCATGGATATCCGGCCTCCCTTCCCCGCGGCGCTTGGCCGGAGCCGGGAAGCCCTCGCTCAGCTCCCACGCAGCCCTGCAGGCCTCACACCTGCATGGAGCAGCTTCACACCGGCCAAGCTCCTCTTTGGCACTTTTGCCAATTAGCCTCTTTCAGGACCCTCATTTATCTTGCAACGAGTCGATCTTGTCTGCTTTGCTGTTCACACATATGGAGAAGGGGAGYGACGGGCGGCCCTGGAGCTCTCCAAGCTGGCTGCTTCCCTGGGCCCCCCCAAGGGCTCCGGCACCACCTCTGCACCGGAGCCCGTGCCAAGGGCTGGGCACGGTCCCTGCCAACACATCCGTGCACGGGTGCCAGACACAGCCGTGCACGTGGCGAGGAGGTGCCAGCCTCTCCACTCGCTCCCTCCCTGCGGAGCAGCCAGGGAAGGGACCAAATCCTGCTAAAAATCCTGCTAAAAGATCACCAGGAAAGTGCTGGCGAAGAACAGCCATTTATTTGGAGTAGCCACAAGCAAGCAAGAACAGTAACCAGTGTCCCAAACCGTCCCCCGAAGCACACAGCCAAACACATCATTGATTCTGGATAACAGCACCTCTAGTAGAATGTATTTTTAACAAGGAGACTGTTCTTTGGATCCTCTGAGCTTCCTTAGCTGCGATTCTAAAGCCCATGCAGGAGTTTTTCCCCCCATTAAAAAACATAATCAAAGTTTTAGAATACAGAACAACATTAATTAAAACATCTGCACTCGTGACGGTCTCTGTCCTTACTGCTCAGTGTGAGAGATGCACAGCAAGCAGCTCATCCTGCACGTCAGTCTTTCTTTTTCTTGTGGTAGTTATGGCACACAATACAGCGCTAGAAGAACAAATGAAAAACAGCTCAACTAATTTCGCAAGCAAAGAATCGATCCTCTCCCATGTTTTCTCCCTAGCTCAACATAACTATTCTGCAATAGATTTTAGCCTTGTACCAGTGCAAGAAGAGAGACAAAGAATTATGAAGCTATGAATCCCATTAGCATCAAAATGCAGCTATGGAAACAAGGGGATTTTAGAGAGATAAAGTATTTTTGAAGGAGCTCTAGACGAAGGAAACATTTCTTTAACAAAGCAAGCATTCTTCATAGGCCTGAAATCCAAAGCACCTTATAAAATTGAATTTGTTGCTGTTTTCTCTTTTTACTTAACAGCATTAATCACTAAAGGCTTGCTTAGGTGGGCAGAAAAAAAATCCATTTCCCATTGTATTAACTTCATGCCCATAAGCAGCCTTTCAAGACCCACCTAAAGGCAAGCAAACATTCCTGCCCATTTTCCGAGGAGAACGACAGCTTGTTCATAAATCCTGTTAGCAGCAAACATAATAGGGCAAAGACGACTCATGGGGAGAGGCAGGAGGCCCCTCAGAAGCAGTTGGGTCTATAGAACATCATTAAACGAGCCAYAGCACACGGAGGCACTGCAGGAGGAGGACTGACCTGTGCAGGGCGGCACTCCACAGCCGGGAACGTCAGTCCTGGGATGTTAAATATGGGCATTTTCCCGGTTTCGAGATACGCTGAGATAAACAAACACAAAGATCAACATCCTTCGCCCGTCTCGCTCTCCCTGTTGAGGCTGAGCTAGGAGCAGGGTGAGGGCCAAGAGGGAGCACCAGAAAAGTGCAGATATTTAACAGATCTTCCACATTTGCAAAAGCCTAAGTGCATTCATAATATAGAAAAGGCACTGCAGTGGAGACAGGCTCCTTTTGCTTGATTCTTAGCACAAATATGTTACTAGCCTTCAAAGGGGCAGGTTTGGTGCATRTATCTGGAGATGCTCTGCTTTTAAACTTTACTCTGCAGTTGCCCCCAAACACCTCTATTTAACATAAATTTATTGCTGTTGCACAAACAGCACACTCTATGAGCCAAGTTGATGCCTATGTGTAAGCCAGATTCCAGACTTGGCTTGCCTGAATTAATACTTACAGAACACACAGTTAACTCCAGCAAASAAAATACACTGGATTTGCTCCAGGGAATGCTCTGGGCCTATATAATTTGGGTTTTGACTAATAAGCAGTCAGTGGAGAAAACATCCCTGAGGACTTACAATTGATTTCATTTATTATAACTTCTTGAACAAAAGCTCTCAAGGGTTCCTGAAGAACTTTAACCTGAAAGAGAGWTGACTTTGTAAGAAAACCAAAGGAATGCATTGCCAAATGCCCACCCAACACCATCCAAGGGGATTTGTGCTTTATTCCTCCTCTTTCGCTCCCCTTGCTCCTTCCCGGGTTTATTCCCGGCACCTTTTCCCCCGGCCCGCTCCGCCCCGCGGGACTCACGTTGCCGGTGCCGTTGGCCGAGGCGAGCGGCGAGAGCGCCAGGCTGCGGAGAGAGGGGACGCGACGGTGGGCGCGGCGGCCGGGGCCGGGCCCGGCGTGCGGGACCCCCCGTCCTACCTGTCGAGCGCCGCGCCGAAGCGCACGGCCCCTCCGGCGAGGCGCGGAGCCGCCGCCAAGCCCAGGTCCTGCAAGGAGCACGGGCGCCGCTCAGCGCGCTGCGCCCGGACAGAGCCCCGCGCTGCCGGCCGCGCACGAGGCGCGCAGCGCCGGCCTCCGCGTGCAAAATACATCAGCCGTGCTTGGCGCTCAGTTAGTTGTGCTTTTCTGCTGGAATTCATCCAAATGGAAGAAGTTTGTATGATATGAACAAACTGTGTTTCTACTCCATTTATTCCTTGTTCCAGCCCCTGGCACAGGCTGCTCAGGGAGGTTTCTGGAGTYTCCTTCTCTGGAGGTCTCCAAACCTGCCTGGATGCCGCCCTGTGCCCTGTGCTCTGGGTGKCCCTGCTGGAGCAGGGGGTTGGACTGGATGATCTCTAGAGGTCCCTTCCAACCTCAACCCATTCTGTGATTCATATAGAGGAACAAATTCACAGTTTGTGAGCTGCCATCGGGCTCTGCAGAGGGGCTGCCTCCCTCCCCTCCGGCCCCCACGCTTCCCTGCCTTTAGCAGAACTAGGTCCCCAACTTACAGCCTGCAGGACAGCAAGAACCACCAAGCTCCCGTTTCCCTTTTTGCTCATGATCTCCAGCTTAAGGGACATGTTCATGGCGCAGCGGCTCAGGTCCAGGTGCACCTGCAACGGGGCGAGCACCTCCACGATGACGACGAGCGAGAAGGCGGCCGGCGAGCACGTGGGGCACTGCGAGGCAGGAGGCCAGAGCTGCGCTCAGAGCGGGGCGCACGGCCCCACGAGCCGGGGGGACAGAGGGACGGAGGGAGCCCCTGGGGCCGGCGGGGCCGGAGGGAGCCCCTGGGTTTGAGCAGGGCAGGAGTCGCTCCCGCCTGGCCAGCTGCCCACGCAGCAAGAGCTGCCTCCTGTGGCACCATCAGCACGGCACAAATCTCCAGGGAAGCTGCAAGGCTGCCTGGCCCACCCGCCTTGGCAGCACCCAGGGGTGCTGTGCAGCACCAGAGCCTTGCTCGCAATGGCGAGGGGCTGCGGGAAGACGCCAGGCACCAACGGCAGGCGGTGCGGGCAGCTGAGGGGTTAGCGCTGCTCATGGGTGAAATAACGGGAGATTATTTGGGACCTGGGATATGGCAGGGACACAACCTCCATGGATGGGGACAGACTCACCTTAGACAYGATGGTCTCGTTGAGGGCCTCCTCAAGAGCACGAGCTTCTGGGAACTGTTGGAAGCAAACACAAACAGCAACTGGATTTTCCATGAAAAGCCCATTTCCATGAAAGGCCCATGCACAGCCCACCTCCTCCCAGGAGGATGAGGAGGGGACACCGCTTCCTCCACCGACATGGAGCCTTCCTCACAAATTATACGGGCTGTTAACAGGACCCTCTGTTTCCCAAACTAACTTCTCTTTGCAGTGCTTGGTGCTCTTCCCACTGCAGTGTGAAGGCAGTTTGTCTTTTTATAATCTAGACAAATGTGGTGGGTTCTTCTTCCTCAATCAGGTTTTCAGCAGCTGCCTCCAAGCCCTTTCAGGTAATTAAGGGATATATAGGAGCCTCGGTTAGAGCACAGAGCGTGACAATAGGCTCTGAGCTCTGCAGCACAGGTGTTCAAAGCTGCAACTGCAGAAAGACAGATTTTATGCAAATACTGTAGTACCTGAAAGCACACATTAAAGGAAGCAASGAGCACTGGAGTATTATGAGGGAAAAACAAAGACCACACACACAACGAGTGGGGAGAGAGGTAGAGAGGACCAGGCGCTAGTCCAAATTGCTGTGGTAAGGGCCACATCAGCTGGAAACTGGAACGATCCAGACAGCTGCATCACTCACTGTTTCAGGGGTGCAAGGGATGATCTTGGGCGTCTCAAAGACTATATGCGAGAGGACAGTGGTAAACGTGTTCTCCCCAATGGTTTCACTTGTGCCATTCGCTACCAGGGCCACCTCGGGGCTGGCTGGCAGGGATGGAATGGGAATTCTCTTCCCATCACTGGTCTCATATTGAACCTGAAAGCAGAGACAACACCACACATTCGCTACGGGAGAACCCCTCAACTACAGGGGCCTCCAGGAGCGCACGCTGCGAGCTGGGAGCAGGAGAATCACCCTCCGTGCATCCCAAGCGACTCGTGACAGCTGGGGAGCTGCACAACAGCTTCTCTGCCAACTGTTTCTCTGCTCTGCGTCGCAGAGGAAGCAAAGCTCCAAAGCTGCTCAGAGTTGCAGAGGAAGCGAAGCTCCAAAGCTGCTCAGAAGTTACCACGCGAGAGCAGGCGAAGCTCCAGTGCGCGCAGTGACGCTCACAGTTTGCACTTACCTGCAGAGGTATTTCAACGGAGGAGTTATGCACTTTGGGAGACTTGGGGACATATATGATCTTCCCTGCTTCAAATGCAATKACAGCTGCATGGAAACAGGAAGAAGTTTATGCGGGGAACCCCAGGAGAATAYCAGATCAGGTGGACGGCTATGAGTTTGGGTTGCTGCTGAACCATATTAGACCACCTAAATTAGCTTAAATAGTCATCAAACAAGTCTGCTATCCTCAAGTTTATACAACGGGCCTACTAACGGCCAGTAATTTGTAGACAAAAGTATCACCTAAGAATTAATACAAGAGAAAAGGAGAAGAGCTTGCTTTGCATGCCTGAACTTCCCCTGGGTCCCCATTACAGCTGCAATTTGCTCTTCATGGGTTTGGATGGAAACAGGCACAGAGGAAGACGTTGCCTATGTCCAGGCTGCCCCCTTCCCAGTTCCTCTATTCCATAAGTTTCTGACAGTGCTGAAAACAGAGCCACATGTCCGTGTGCTTAGCGAGCATTCTGGTGATGCCCCCTCTGGAAGCTGGTATTAGATCAGGGGCTGTGTGGCCATACCCTGCATYGTCACACACAGTGCCCAGCCGTGTCCCTGTACACAGCCACCACACGGCCAGAATGGGGAAGTGACAGGGTCTCCCTCCACCCAGATCAACAGGTTTAACTAGGAAAAATGAAAACAAGGGTGTCACTCACAATTTATACGATGCAGCAGCTTCCTGTGCCCAATGGAAATGCAATCTGCAAATATTTTAGGTGCCTGAAACACAAGAGAAAGTTACTTCATTCCAGGCTCAGCAATGTCACACAGATGTCCGGGCGAAGCCAGGGCTGCCCTCTCCCCTTCCAGGGGTGCGTGCGCGTGGCCGGCACYGTCACACTGAGCTCGGGGTGCAGCTGCCGCCGAGCGCTGCACGACTGGCAGGGACCTCCCGAGAGCTGCGGAGGGAAGGGCGAGCCGTGCTGCTGCCAGGCTTTAGCGGGTCCCACACCGCCCGCCCGCTCCCCTTCCCGGCCGGGAACCATTCCAGGAGGGCCGGCATCTCCGGCCGGGATCAGGAATACCGAGCGGAGCCCAGGTCCCGCTTCCCCGGCRGCGAGGGCGGCCCGGAGGGGAGCTCAGCGGGTGTCTGGCCGAGCTGAACGGGGGAAGCTGCTTCCCTCCTTTCTCAGCGTGAGGACGCGAAGGCAGAAACGGGCTGTACCTTTTCTTTCAGCTCCAACAGGAGGCTATTTCTTAATTTGGTTTCCACGCTTACACTCGTGTTGCTGCAGACAAAACGAAACTATCTTGAAACAGAAGGAACCGTTAGCAGAGCAAAGCACTTAAGAGGAATTAGAGGAGATCATCAGGAGCTGGTGTCTAAGTGCTGCCACCGGGATGCAGTCTCAGGAGAGGACAGCCCTGCTTCTCTCCTGCGAGCAAACAAGCCACAGCAGCTCATCTAACATCCCCTACGTGGGTATAGCCCAAGCGCTGGTGAAATATATTGCCGTGAGTTAGTCTAAAATATAGTTTATACCCACGGAAAGGATGGGGAGAATCAAACAGCAGGACAGTATCTTGGTGGACTGGCACCCACGCAAGGCATTGCCCAAGCACAGAGTTTAAAATGCAGTGTGGGTGTGCGACACTGATACGCAGAGCCTGAAGGAAAGCTTTCTCTGGCCACTCAAATAGCTATGCTGCACAGATAAATCCAAAACCAAGGCGGCAAATCGAAAATACAAGCTGTATCAAATGGAGATTTCAAGGCTGCCACATGCCTTAGCGGAGGGCGGCCCTAGCCACGCACACTCCTGCTCGGACAGATCAGCAGCGCTCACCTCAAGCTTATTCTGACATCCGTGAGGCGCGCGCGGCACGCGGAGGCGCCGACACGGACGGAGCCGTTGCTCGGGGAATAGTCCTGCAGCAGAACCAGGGCGCTGCAGTTGAGCCTCGCGGCGGCAGCGACCACGCCGGGCACCAGGACACTTCCACTGCGGAGACACAGGCAGCCGGCATCCCCGCCGTGCCCCGGCACCGTCCAGGCTCAGCCCACCTCCCTCCAGCAGCACTGCCCTGCGCAGCGTCTGCTCCACGGACAAGCTCTGGGGAAGCCTCACTTTCCAATAAAAAATAAGTGTGTGGTTGCACTGGATCCCGAGAAAATGATTTATTTTTATAGTTCCTTGCCAAAATACCAAAAAAAAAACCCACACTAATTTCCTCTCCCTGCTCTTGCCCATGCAGGTGCCTTCCTYATGCTTCCCTTATGTCAAAAGGGATCAGAACTGCACAGCCCTTGGCCAACACTCACCAAGTACCAAAGATACTCAGAATGGCAG